GTTACATTGAAATTAATCTGTAAGTAGATTATATAAATGTTAAAGTATTAATGATAGTGATTTATATATGAGAAAGTCAGAGAAGTTAAAGTTGTAAAGTTCAGGTCATCATATTTATGAAAACATGTTAAGGTGATAGTAATCTCAAATGTTAAAACATTAACATAATTTATTTAAAATATTAAATACTCAACAATAAAAATATAAAACAAAGTAAAACAAAAATTTAAATTTTAAAAACTTAAATATTTATGTTTTTCTAAATTTAACTATTAACTAAAACACTTATATTTTTTAATTTATTGTAATAATTTTTAAAAATATTTATGACATTTTTTACATTGCTTAATATATGACTTTAGAAATAGATATAACACTTAGTGGTGTAATAATAGCTAACATTTTCAACACAGTTAATAGGTCATCTTTAGGGTACTGATCAACTGGGTCAAAAACATTAACAATTTTCAAACATTTATGCACTGCTAAAGATATTCTGTCTGTTTATCTTGTATATTGCAATAATTTGTTTACATCAGTATAAGTAAATTATAAACTTCCTTTCTAAAATAGAGTATTTATGTTCTATTTTCTTATATCATTTTGATAATAGAGTGCAAAAATATTTGCAAAAATGAATTATTCTGTACTCATATTTATAGAATGTTACATTCTTCAATTAACCTTCTCAAAAATGCTTCAGTTTAAATCAGATCAACTATTTTCAGCTAAAAAAAGGAAATAAACATATGCACCAGTAATAAACATTTATATTAATAATAATTTCTAAAGATGTAATTATAATTAAACACTGTTTACTCTGTATGATTTGTTTTTATTCTGAAAAATAAATTATTGATTATTACTGTCACAAGTATTAATGTATTTTATCAAAAGCTTGGTAAGGGCTTGAGAGTAGAGCTGACCTCTTTTGTACCTTTGCTTTTGGAACAATTGAAATACCTAATGTTTCTTCGCTAATAAATAGCAGTCTTAATAATTTTATTTTTGTTAGTAAAAATAATAGAATTTAATTAATTTATAGGGATAAACCACTATGGGGTCTTTACATTTTCTTTGGGCCTGAGAAAAATTTCCAGCTTCCCCTCTTTACAATCCTGAATATTTCACAGTATAAACATTATCCAAAGTTCTTGTTTAATTAATTTAATTACTATATGATATTTATTTGCATATGGGTTACATAAATTATTTATAATAATATAAATTAATCATATTCAGACTTTCTTTGCTTTTTAATCTGTGAGATTCAAAAGCAAATATTTTTAGAATACTATATATGGAAATCCAAAAATAATTATTTCAGAAAACTGTATTACAAAAAGACTTATTTGAGACTCTGAAAAAATTGATAAAAACAGGGTCAATGAAAACTCATCTGACATGAGTAAAGTGCCATATTTTACAGTATATAAGATAAAAAAATCCTGCATCTGAGATATAAAGTTCTCCTACAGAGTAATAAATTCTCTAAAGTATAGTGTAACCTAACCTAGCCTAACTCTTGAATAGAAATGTTATTGTTTATTTAATTAAACATATTATTATTATTAATTTTGTTCATTTAAAAACAATTATTGTAAATATTAGTTAGATAATATAAGACAATTATCAATAAATTCTTTGTCATATGCATCCAACTCTTCAAAGTTAAGCAGTAACCTTTTCTGAACACTTATATTACAGAAAGTTAGATAAGTGTTGAGAAAAGGTTATTGCTTCACTTTGAAGAGTTGGATGCATACTTTGCTACAATAAAACCTTGCTAAAAGTCAAACTGCATTAACTTGAAACTGTTTACAGGTCCTAAGCACAATATAAGGTTTTCCATATAATAAGATCTCATTAAGTCAAAATTGTTGATACTTTTAACTCAAATATATTTTCCTGTGTATCTACTATCCTTTCTGTTCCATGATATTCATTCTCTTTTATATTCTATGTAAATACAGACAATTAAGATAAATACCATGGCTCCATGCCAAAAACCAACACCATGTCATTACGAGTTCAACATCCTTTTACTGATACATTATTTTACTGATACTTTGATTAGGACACAAGAGGTGCCTTGATAACACCCTCAAAACTATCATAAACTGTATACAATTTTGTAATCATGCTATGAACAGCATTCTTGAGAGACAATTAAGGCCACAGAAAAATTTGAGTAAATTACACATTACACTTGTTAACTTGAAGTAGGGGTTTTTTTACCATTAAACTTCAACTTAATGAAGTTTTAATATATGTATTTATGTCACATCTTGCTACAGTTATCTTATTATGTAGAATGGCTTAAATACATTAAATACTTTCTCTAAATATTCTGTGCTGAAATGGGGGTGCATCTTATATGTCATAAAATACAGAATACAGTGCTATTCATTGAACTTTTGGAATAGTGACAAAAAAGAATAATATGATACGACAAAAGAACAATTGTATGTATTTCATTATATAGTCAATTGACAATCACAAGAGAGGTGAAGAACATGTAAATTAGTTTGACTATATAAATGGTTAAGTAAAAGAAAATGCTAACAAATACTAGAATGAATGTTTTTGAGGTCACGACTGAGATGGAATCAAATACTGTAAGAAAGTTAACAAAGAAAAGTAAAGAAGCCATAACTGAAAAATAAACTGCCGAAAAAGAAAGCAGTTGACAAATGATAACTAAAATGCAATAAAAATTTAATTTTACACATTATATTTTTATTATTTACTTCTGAATATTCCTTCTATTATAGTTTTCACAAATACAATTAGTGTATAACTTTTCTTTACCTGAAATATTTATTTACTATGTATATGAGTTCAAAAATCAAAGCTCTATCAATCAGTTACTAATGTTTTTATCTCAAAAGATAAAAGTATTATCTTACAAGTACTCTAACACTTTTGGGCACACAAGACTGATATTTGGAGATTTCATATAACAAGATTAGGAAAAAAACTTAAACTAATTCAAATTAACCACAAAACATTTTTTTACAACAAATGCAATCTTCAAAGCAAATGTAGTGTCCATAGCAACTATATCACAACAAAAAAACAAAGTTTATCATAATTTGTAAAGTTGCTTTCAGTAGAAATTATTGATGCACAGTAAAAATATTGTACATCAATAAAAATCAATAAAATATTTTTAATTTAAATAAATCTAAATTTCAAGATTTCTTTTGTTCTCCAAATATTGTAAGTTTCATTTGAACCCTATGGGTCTTAATATTTTTTTAATTCACACTTATTCAGAAGTTTGTATTAAGTACTGTTTGAATAGAAATAAAACTCTCTTCATTTTATATAATTCACTTTACTTACTCTTTTTCCTGATTAATATTAAATTGATCTATAATTTTTGAGACACCATGAAGTGTTGATACTAGACATTGGCAGTGGTAGATTTCTGCACAGGCACACGCGATGTGCACCAGGGCCTCATAAATCAAGGGGGCCTCAAAATTCAGCTCTCAAAATAAAAATCATTAGTAAATTTAAAAGAAAATTATTTCTTTTATCCATGGATTACTAATTTTTTTTTTTTTAAACACTTTTACCTATTGAAACTTAATAATTCTTGTAACAATATGTTTCAATTTTCATAATTAATACAATCTGAACAGTAACCTTTTAAATACAGCCAGGTAGTTGTAATTTTATATTAGTTAATTTTCAATGTTATTTCCCCATGTTTCACTTTTTTTGGACCACAGGTATAGTTCCTACCAGAGTAAAAAAACATGAATGTAGAATGCACAATGTAGTGTGTAAGGATAGTGAAAACATTTAGAGGGGGCCTCAAAATTGAATTGCACCTGGGGCCTCTCAAGTGCTAAATCTGCCACTGGACACTGGGCTTTTTCTAGGTTTCAACACTGTTGATCTATGACAATTGTTGAAAACTCATATTTGACAATACAACTTTGTAGATTAAAAAAAAAAAACTTTATAAAATAAATCACAGATAACAGTTTGTAATATATAATTGATTTTTTACACTTAATTATGTAGTTTTTTAAATAATTACTATTACATGCCCCTCTCTCTCTTTTATATTATCAGATAAAAAAATAAAACAGTTCATCATTTTTTTTAACATCTTTTATTAAAATTTTTAAATAGAGTACCTTACATTTTTACATCAATTTTTACTTATGTAATTATTAATGTATTTTTAAACAAAAATATTTTTCAATTAAATTATTTTATGTCCCTTTTATGCGATGTTTGTGTCCGTAAAATGTCATTAGTTTCCTTTTTATAAAGAAAAAACAGAACGGCAGTTTTAAAACATAGCCTAAACTATTTGAAATTTTCGAACACATTATATAAGAAAATACTACTACTTAACAATAAAAAAATGTAATATTAAAAACAGATTTAACCACTGTCAAATTTTATAACCGACGTAATAATTTATAACACATTAAAACGAATATTAAGCGAATAGATATGTATAAATTACTAAATCTGATCACCCATAATTGAATACAGTAAATGTCATCACGAATACCAAGATATCAAATACAAAATTAACATCTGCAAAATAAAAAAAAGCAAGTCATAAATGTGTAATTATGCAATAAGAAAACAATACTGGATAATAACTTTCCATCGCTTTCCAGTGAATTCATTCAAGGACAACAGGTATAAGTATTTTGTAATAACACAATACGGATCACAAAAGAAATTTAAATGGGGTATTGTTTAGAATTACGTCACAAATGAAACACAGAAGATTGTTTGAAAGAAAAATAAGTTGTAAATAAACCGGTAAACGACAAATGTCAAATGTGCGGTTTAAATGACATAACGGTAAGCGACGAAAGGAAATTTAAATGTGGTAATTGACGAGTCCGTTTCCTAGCAATTTTATTTCACGCGAAGGAAGTCGGTTTAAGCCAGCGGAATATTATAATGTGAAAAATAAAGGATAAATTAGAATTGAAAAAAAATAAAAAAAGATACATTACCTTGGCTACATCGGCTAAATAATATAAAATGAAGACGATGCCAAAACTCAATATCAAAATAAGCCGAGGATTTGAATAATATAAAATGAGAGCGTAATCGATGGTGGAATTGGTAACACTTAGCGTCGTCATCTGTTGGCGGAAAAACTCAAAAATTTAAGGATAATTTAAAAAGTAATAATTGCTCTTTTTGTCTACTTTCTGCGGAATGAAAATTTACCGCAATCGCCGGTTGCATTTCGCCCGCAACGACCGAAAGAGGGCCCGTAGCGCACGTGCTGTTGATTATTTAGCGCGTAATTACTACTACTGCCACCTGCTGGAAGACAATCGAATCACACACGCCGGAACGAAGGACGTATGAGAAAAACTTTTGATTGCAATATTCGGGCGATTATGATTTTGTGGATTAACTGCGATGATCCGTCAAGTAATAAGTGTCTGCTTAATTATTGCGGCACTAATGCTTGCCGATAGGTATTTAGTTTTTATTGTAATATCGACCATATGCGGTTTATTCTCTTATCAGTGTACTTACAGAATTATTAAGTTTTGGTTAAGAAATTGCAGTATTAAATACCGTAGAAAGAGAGAGAACGGTCTTAAAACGCATTTAAACGAAATACAAAGTAATGCTTCGACCTCATTACAAACGCCCATTATCACGGTCGAAAACGTGAATACGCACGAAAGGACGTTGAATTGTAATAAATTCTGCGGCCTGAAATTCTCGGTGAAAGAAGAATTAAAAACTTTCGTTCGTCATATATCACGCCATTACATTCAGTGTTGGTACTATAAAATTTGTCAGAATGAAGATGTTCTTCAAGAATTTAATGATGTATTGGAAGATATCTTGGACACCGCTAACAATAATGTTATTAGAATGAATATAATTGATCTGTCCGAAAAAGTTATTTGTTTGTACGGTCGGCATTTCGATAATTATCTACGAGCTCTCGAAACGGTAAAGTCTAATTTGGGATGCGAATCTCCCGTCGATTGCGTCGGAATGGAGAACGAAATCAAGAATGCTTATAAGGTAACTTAAAAGAAATGGAAGATATGTAATTCTCTTTATCGTTTGGTTATGAGTAATGCATTGCCGTAAATACAAATGTAAGATAATTGCCGATAACTTTTTTGAAATTTAGTTATTCAAACAATGAATTGATAAATGTATTTGTATAAAGAATTAATACGTACATACTACTGTAAGTATGTCAATACTTGTAGTCGTATGTTGCGTTACGAGAATAATCGGTGTATGGATTACTGAAATATATAATATAATTTGCACGAAGTCTGAACTAATTTGGTTATTTCCTACGTTAAATTGTTAGCAATTTACATAAAAAAGAAGTAGGTTACCCATAATACGTAAAGAGAATTGTATATGCATTGACGATTCCTTATAGATATTGATTTACATGATTAAGAATACAATTAGTGTCTTTTTATGTACAGTACATAATATTTAATAGCTTGATTTCTTTTAATTATCTTAATAAATTGGTGTATTTTACCAGTTTATTAAAATCTGTTTCAATTGTAATAGTAAAATAGTGTGGTAATCATTTAGTATAATATATTATAGATATTGTGATAAATGATTATAGCAATATTTACCATATTTTAAGGCTTTTAAGATACAACTTTTGTCTAAAATATTACCCTGCATCTTATATGTGAAGTTGCCATCTCCTGTTGGCTAATGAATACTCCAAACAGCCTTCATTAGGCTACAGATAACTACCCTGCCCAACTCTTGAATAAAAATGTTATTATTTAATTAAATATATTACTGATCTTGCTGTTGTTTGCTAAAGCTAAGCAGCTTTTTCATGTATTCATGTAGAATATTTTAATGTTAAATTTTAATTATAAATGATTACTTATAAACAGTATTTTCTCCCGAACAAAGTGTATGTTCTAGTTTTACTCTTTTTTTTTTTTTAAATCAGAATACAGTAAAAAATTTGAGAGGTGAGAGCCAAAGTTGTGGGATGACTTTTAAACACACTAAATACTTTTTCCTAAACATTATGCACTGAAATGGGGGTGTGTCTTATATGCTGTGAAATATAATTATTATTTTTTGTAAGTAATTATCAAAATAAAAAAAGAAATATTTAACATAATAATACATATTAGTCCTAATAATTTTGAAATTATCCATGTATAAAATCAAAATTTATTATTATAATTACATATATATTTTTAATTGTATATTTATTTATTTTAACTAATAAAAAAGATGAGTATTCTATTAAACTATATACAATCAATCAAATATAAGTCAGTTGAGCTTAATTATTATATATTTGGAAATAAGCTTGTGCTTGATTACAAAAAATAGATGATTTTAGTATAAAATATTAATAAAAAATAAGTTCAGACTTGGTTTTGGACATTTATTTATTAAAAATTAAGAAATCTTATTTCAATGATTATAAAAATAATTGTCACATTTTCTTTATTTGTACTTCAATACTTCAAATTATTCTCATTCTTGTTGATTTCATCATCATTGCTATTTTCTGATTTTTCAGACAAGCTCTAACATTGAAAGTATAATATTAAGTTTTTCTTATGGCACTTGTAATCAACTTTTGTCTATTCTTGACTTCAAAACAATGTTTCTCATTTGATTTTCTTCTGTATTCCTTAACCTTTTGATGAGTTCTCCCATGAATATACATGATATATGTGGTGGGATCTTTACAGTAAGCGCGCGTGTGTGTGTGTGTGTATGTATATATACACATGGAAAAAATTTTCCATGTAGTTTTTGTAAGGTTTGCATAACATTTTCTAGCATAAAGACTGGTTTACAGGTTGCTCTGGGAGGAGAGAGCCACCTGTAAACCAGTCTTCATGCTAGAAAATTTTATGCAAACTTTGCAAAACTTAAAAATTCCATTTGAAAATAATGTTGTTACATTATTTTCAAATGGAGTTTTTAATACATTTTAATTAATCTGTTAATACACAGTGTTAATACATTTTATTAACACTGTGATATATTATAAAAGTGTAATAATCATGATGTTCTTTTAAAAAATAATTTTATTTGAATGGTGTAGTTAAACTTAAGATTTTCCTCCCAATTTGCACATAACTTAATCTGTTTTTTGCTCTTAGTTTTATAAGAGCTGGATAAATCTTTTTCTTCTAAAAGAAACTTTAAAGGATTATATCTAGGGTAGGTTTTCTAACTCCAGTACAATTAATTTTTTACTTATAAACCATATTGCATCACTTTTTGATGAATGATATTAATTTTTTTACCATCACAAACTAAAAATGCCCCATTAAAACTAATTGGGCTGAAATTTTAAAAAATTGTAGACTTATAAATTCCCACTGTTATCCATCTGTCTGTCTTTCCTTAATCTTGAGAATGGAGTTAGATGGACGAAAAGTGAGACCAGATATGAAAAGCTTAGTGGCAGGAGGCTCCAATTAACTATATATGAACTTCCGATACAAACCTGAAGTCATGTTCTTTCACTTTAAACATTTTCCTCTGAAAGGACCAGCATGACTTTGTTGCTAACAGGAAATGCATGATGTACAGAGGCAAGAAACTACTAATTTGAGGTGGGAAGTATATATTTTAAATTAAATATATTTAAAAAATATGATTAAAAATTGCAGTCTGGCATTATGATGATACCACAATAAATAATTGCTCGTTATATTTTGAATTATTTTTAGTTGCCATTTATACAGTGTGTTTTTACATAACAGGCCAATTTTGTTATGCTACCTTTTTTTGTATTAACACAGTTGTGATTTGACTGTTGTGTAGTTCAGCCACTAACAATTCATTGGGAATACTCAAAGAACAATTCATGATTTTTTTTTGTGTGTGTGTAAATGATATGCCTTTAAAGTTCACAATATAGCATGTAATCAAAAATGTTTAAACTCAGTATATATTGGAAGATTTACCAAAAACTGGAAGACCTTGTATAACATGTATGCCACAAAACATTCTTGCTGTAAGACAATGCTGGCAATAGAGCAAGAATCTCAATTTGACATTAGGCACATGAATCATGTAATGCTGCAAAACATTTTTTGCCTGAAATAAATCAACAAGCAATAGTGTTTGAAAAGGAACACTATTCCCAAAGGTGGGTCAAAAGTGAGTCCAAAATTTAGTGACTCAAAATTGCGGGTCAATTTCAGTTTGAGCAATCAAAAAATGATAATGAAAAGGGCTTACAAATTTTTCTTGAACTTTTTAATCTACATCAGAAAAAGAACAATAAATGTCATATAAGTGAAAAGAAAATAATAATTGATTATAATGGAAACAAATATTTTGTTTAATGAGAAATCTGCCAATGTTTAATTGTTGATAATTTTTTTTTATCTGAGGTTTATAATTAGGACCTTTAAGACTTTTAATAACAACTTTAGGACCCTGCTTTTGCACTACATATGCAAAGTTTTGAAATTATTAAATATTCCTTTATATTTTATAAAAATTTATTTCTAAATATTCAATGCAAATATCTTGAAATCATTATTGGTTCACTACCACTTGTCTATTGCATATATGGTTTCAAAAGAACTGTTGCCACACTGTACACAGCTTATACTATTAATATCAAATTGGTGATATCAACTGGCTCACTGTTCACCTGATTTGACGACGATTAATTTTTTCTTTGGGACTAGTTAAATGAAAGGGTTTACAGTAACAAGCCAATAACAATTCAACAGCTTAAAGACAACATTTATCAATAAATCCAACAAATTAACCAGAAAATGGTTAATTTATTGGATTTCTTGTGACTAGCTGAAATGTAATGATAAATGTGATTGGAAGAATACATATTTGTGCTACATGTAAAGGGGCTATTTGGCTGATATTATTTTTCTTACTTTATGTTAAGAGTAAAATAAATGATCTATATAAACAAACTTGTTTCATTTCAAAGTAAAGTAAAATTGACCTGTTATATAATAAACATCTTGTATATGCAAAATTTGAAAAAAATTAATTATATCACTTTTAAAAATTAAAGATTTTTAAAGTTATGAAGAATATTACAATAATAATACTAGTATCATAAAAAATTTAACTTGATAGTTTTAAATTTCCAATAAAACAATAATAGATTTTACATAAAATAATATCAAACGCAGTAAGAACTGCATCAAGTTATTTGAAACACAAAAGTACAGAAAACAGTTTGATTAACACTAATTTATAGTATCAGTTATGGTTTTTATTGAATAATATAATTTTTTCACATTATTTAAGGAAATAGTAATTTTATATTATTAGAATGTAATGAACATAGAGTAGACTCTCTTATCTGGACTGATTAAAGACAACCAAAAACTTTCAAAAATATTGTACACTATTCCAGATCTTGCCTTTCCATACCGTAAGTATATACACTTTTTAATTTTCTTTATTAAGGTTGCATTGGAGTTCATAGAAGGACACAATGAATTAGCCAACACCGATGTGATAATGATGAGTCATTGGCATGTGTAGCAGCTTGTCAGTGAATCAAGAAAACAAAACTAACACAGTACTTTCAAAATTAATTGTAATTATCAAAAATAAGCATCAAAGTCAAAAACATTTTTTATACATACAGTAGACACATGTGTTACAGTTTATATTATACATTATTCTATTTTATAATTTTGTTAATTATATAACAATTTTTGAATTCAATAAAACAATGATTATAAATTTTTAACACAAAAAAGAGAGAAAATTTATTTAATGAATAATTTTTTTTAGATGACTCATCCAGCATTGACAGATCAAGTGACAGAATGGTGCTATTTGAAAAGTATCGTGGCAAATATAATTGATTTGCTTTGGCCTCAAGAATTTCTTGGTTGTCAAGTTGCTTATAATATGCTAGAAGAAATATTAACTAAAAATGTTCTTTATCCATTAGTTGACATGTTTTCCAATCCTGAATGGTTAAATGAAATGATAATATTACTTTTATCTGATGATGATTTTGTTAAAAGGAAACATTTTAGTAATCGAAAAACACACAAGACTGATGATTCTGAAATATCGGAAACTGTACTGTCAGAAACACGACAATTTCATAGAAAGTGGAGTGAAATTCCAAAAGGAATTTCTCATATTGCGTTTGATAATTCAATATGCTCTAGAAGTGTACGCAGACATTCTGATAGTAATATTGGGCATCTTGAAATTTGCCAAAATACATTTAATTTTCCATTATCAGATAATTATCTTACTGTTTCTAATGATCCATTTGCTTCTCATGAATTACCAAATTACTGTCAAGGCAGCAAAAATTTAACAATTAACATTAATTCTCATAATAAATCCATGCAAGAATCTGACTGGGAAGTGTGGAGTGGTGAATTTAATGAATATGGAGATGTAGTTAAAATTTATCCACATGATTTTTTTAGAATAAAATCACAATCAAGCCAAAATATAGAAAATATCCATTATACAGAAAGTTCAAGAAAAAATAATAAGGATTTAGAATCTCCAGATATCAGTTTGAAAAGATCACAAAGTGTTGATTGTCTCTCTCATTTAACCCCTCCGTTATCACATGTAGTTTCATTAAGTGGTTCTAGTTCTAATTTAGATGCAGTCAGGACAAATTTATCAAAACTAGTGTTAATGAATATGCCTGATTTGCAAAGAAAAGAAAGTAATAGTACAGATGTTGAAGAAGCAGAAGAAGCAACTGAAACTGCTTGGTCTGATTTATTTAGTGATATACAAATTTTAGAAACAGAAAAACAGGAAGAACCTGGAAGAGGTCCATATATTTTATATTGTATTCAGGTAAATAGTATATTCAGTAAATGTAATAGTATTAATGTAATGTAAATAGTGTATTAAGTAAATGTAGTAATAACTATTCTTTTCAAAAAACCCAAAATTATTCTTTATACAAATTAAAATATTTTGAAAATAATTTTAATATATATTTCAAACACAATTATACTTTTAAAATATGAACAATGCAAATTATTCGTGACAACTGACAAGCTAGAGACTGGAAACACAAAATAGATAAAAAATTCTGTTGCACGGCTGAGAATTTATTTTGCCATTCAATGAATAATAAGTTAAATAACATAAATTATTTTATAAATATAATGTAAATGCTAAGAGGTAAGAAAAATAAATAAAATTTTGGCATTAATACTAACAATATAAAAAAAGTTTTTATGATAAAAGTACTGAAAATTAGTGTAATTATTTTATATAAAAAAATGCTAGTAATAGATTAGATTTTTTTAAAACCTTAAAGAAATATCCTCTTTTTGCACAGTAGATATGTTCTAAAGAATGCTGCATTAAAAAAAAATCATGTAAAAAAGTACAGTACATACATCCTGTATAAAAATGCTTGATAAGATCCACAAGCTCTCTTTATTCTAATGTTATTTATCATTAACAATATTTGTACATAAATATAGTAAACATAAAATCAACATAAGTATTTTCTAATGTATGGTACATACTATACTATGTTTAAAAGATATTTGAATAAGAAGAGTAATTTATTTTTGTAATTGAAAATTAAGGCAATACAATGTTTGAATCCTTTTTCCTCTTTAAATCCTTTCATTCCATCCAGGAACCACAAACAGCAGGCAACTTGAAGTGAAACTTCTAAAATTAACAGAAAACACTATCGAAAAACTTCCATGCATTAAAAATGCTAGTGATAGTGTGATGATTTTGATAGTGTTTGTCTGTTATCTTTAGAAGTTTTACTTCAAGTTGCCTACTGTTTCTGGTTCCTGGAAGGAATGAAAAGGATTTAGAGGAAAAAGGACTCGAACATTGTTTGTATTGCCTTAATTTTCAATTATAAAAATAAATTACTCAGTTAAAATAATCCTGGGCTTATGAATAATTATATAAATAAACTCTTGATTTAGAAAGATGTAGTTTTAAAATCACTCTTTCAATTAAAAGAGTAACTTTTTTAACAATAACACAATTTTTCAAAAAGGTTAAATTTAAAAATTTTCAAATAAACTGGCTTTTTTCTGTCTAAAAAAAATCAATCATGTGAAAAGAGGATTAGTTTTCTTTTATCAACTGTATTATTTCAAAGTCACATCAAAATAAATCATGTAAAAATAATAGATGTAAAAATACTTTTATAAAGAATAATTTTTTAGTGAATGAATGAAAATGAAAATAAATCTGATATAAATACTAACAAAGCATTTAATTAATTTACAGAATTAATAATTTGTTAATGATATTTTTTTTTTTTTTGAAATAGACTGCTATATTACAATAAACAAACTTATGTGAAAAATTTTTTAGCTAATTAACAGCACTTGATGTAATTCATTCAAGTAAATTAATGTGCATTTGAGTGGAATAATTTATTGCTTTAAAGCAATGTTGCTATTATTTTAAATCAGATATATGCAAATTTATAAATTTGCTTCTGAAAAATTCTAATTTTATTCCTATATCAGTCATATTCATTTAGAATAAACTACTTAAAATATTTTAAAATTTAAATTAATGGAATTAACATTATGAATATGAATTAAGTAGTCAGGGGATATTGACCAGAAAAGGAAATATTCTTATGTTGAATTTACTAATTTACTGGGAAATATTCTTATAAATATGAGTACAGTGGATTTGCCTTAAAAGGAACACCAATAAAGCAAATTCTCACATTAAAATGAAATTTGCTGTTGTCCTGGCAAAATGTCATTGTCACAGTGTTAATTTGTAAATGATAGTGATATTTTATCAGATTTTGCTAAACCAAACTGTAAATTATCTTCACAACTACCAAGAAATAACCCTATCTCCAATAATGGTTGCTTTTTACACTTCTCTATGGTAAATAATAAAATATACACATCAATTGAAACCTGATATCTTAAGCAAATATACCTACAACTGTTGTAAATGATTGGGCTAAATTTTAGATATATTGCTACAATCATATATCCAAAATTTTGCCTGATCATTTACGGCAGTTGTAGGTGTATGTGAATAATAAAAAGTGGTATGTATTAAATGTTCCATTTTGAGTAGAATATATTTTATTTTTCCAGTAAGAAAGATGGGTTCAATATCTGATTGTACAGCAATTCAAACATTTGATTTTAGCAGACCATTCTGCTATACTCAGAATATATGGGTTAAAGTTTAAGGATGCTCACTCCTTTAAATGAATGTAGTCCCAGGCAAATGTGCTAGTCTGCTTAATGAGGAATAAATACAATGAAGCCAGGTTTGGCTACTTACTTTGCTCCAAATTTGGCTCCTTTTTTGCTCTTTTAGTGGCAAAAATATTTTCTACTTTTTCAAGCAATCTTCAACAGAAAAATTCACAGATTTCTTTTAGCTTTGTTTTATTTAATCACTCTGATATACTGCTCCATACTTAAACAGCAAATACAATCATCTCCTAATTTTGTTTGATGTGAAAATCATTTATGACATTAATTTGTTTTTGTAAATTAATTAAACTGTACTAAGTAAAGTAATCAAAATATTTTAATTTAGATTTTGATTGACTATTAAGCCTTAATACCCTAAATTATTAACTAATTAATTATTGAATGTTATAATCCATATGCTACTTACTGCCTTTAAACGATTTTATACAAAAAATTATTTTCTTCTTATTTTTTTTATTTATTCCTAATTTAATTTCTTAACAGTAAACTTTATGCTCTATACAAGTAGTAAACACATATTGATTTTTTTTAAATTCAATTTTAATGACAGATGTCTTGGATAACTTTTTTGATCACTGTACAGTAATTTATATTTTTAAATGTTCAGTAAAAAAATAATGAAAAAAATATTATAATAAAATTGTGTTTTATTTATTGTTTTAAATAATTGAAAAATTACATATATATTAGTGTTGTTGTTATAAAATTATTGAATAGTTATTTATTATAAAAATAATTTTTATTTTTAATAGTGAAACATTACAATATATTAATCATCAAATTTAATATTTTACTTTTAGTATAATGCTTTATTTGTTCATAATAATGAAGAAAACAATAAATCTCAATTTATGAAGCATAAGATGACTGTTAAAAGAAGATTTCGAGAATTTTTGGCTTTACAAGGGAGATTAGAAGAAAACTCAAAATTGAAGAAATATATGAAAAGTACGTCTAAAAACAAATTTTAATTAAATAAAAATGAAAGTTTTTTATATTATCTAATTACAGTAGAGCCTCGAAAACTCAGCCTAATGTGGACCGAAGGGTGGCCGAGTTTGTGAAAATGCCAGGTTATCGGGAATGGGGTTAAAAAGAATAAGTATGAGTGTTTTTTCAGAAAATACTGTACTGTACTTGTATGTATTGTTTACTTGAGAATACAACAGAAAATAAACTGCCCAAATACCCTTAAACAAAGGAAAAGTACATCTTTTATGAAGGCATAGAGCCTTTACTACATGAAAATGAAAATTAATGAATACACTGTACAGTAATTTACCTGATAAGACAGACCTCAGAAAAATACTTTGAGGCATAAAGCTGTCTTTATCATGAAAATTAATTAACTAAGGATTTTTTTGTCCTGCCAGGGTGTGGCCGAGTTATTCGGAGTGCCGGGTTATCGAGTGCCGAGTTTTCAAGGCTCTACTGTAATTAGGAAAACTTTTGAGTAACTTTCAGTAAACTTGCATATGAATTAATTTTTTACATCTTGTTTAAATTATAAATTATAACTCATTGATATACAGTCTCTCCTTGACTTACAAAGGGGTTATGTTCTGAAAAACACATTGTAAATCGAAAATAAATAAATAAAAATTAGGCTATATATAAGGTTATACAGTATGTAATGTGAATTTGGGCTATTATTATGATAGCCCAAACTCGTGGATATGGATAATTGCCATAACTGACATGCTTAGATATTATCTTAAATTTCTCATTGAGACACAGCGGGGCATTTTACAGACATACTGAGCATACTATATAATACAAGAAGATATAAGATGTTAAAAAAGGTCTTAAGAAAGATCATTAATGCATCAGTAGAGCAGCTTGAATTCAAATTCTGTTTTCTCATGCTTCCACTTCACTTGCATTGGCCATTGTATGTGCAAATATCATATGTCAAAACATCATAATTCAAACAGTATCTGTATAATGTGTGTGTTTCTATATAATCATGACAGTTGTAAATAAGTCCTATATATTAGTTTATAAAGTAAAATACTGCAAAATTAATTTTAAAAGTAGTGAAAGGAAAAAATCAGACTGAAGATATTTGTATGATAACTATGGGATACACTTTAATGGAGTATGTAAACAACCATTATATGATTACAAATACTTTTGAGTTTTTCACTCATTTTCAGGAAAAATGAACAAGAACCTGAAAACAATGTAACAGTTATTTATATACTCCAATTAAAGTATATCTCATAGTTTAAATTTAGTTGTGGTGTTAGTTTATTAATTTGTTTGATAAGTTAGTAAATGATAAGTAAAAATTTTGTTTGGATGAGAGAGAAGACATTTTTTATCAAAATCTTTATTTCTTTAGTAATTTTTGACATTCAATTTTTTCTGTGATATTTTCTATCATAAGTTTAATAAAAATTTTAATATCAATAGATGCAGGTTAATAAGTTTTAGGAAAAAGGAATGGTTAATATAAACAGTAGCTCAGTGAAGAGTTTTCGAAACATTAGCACACTATTGGATTTAGATTTAAATTGAATTTGTTTAATCAATTTAAATGATATAATAACTTTTCCTTAAAAGTGGACAAATTTTTTGCAAAAAAAGAGAATAAAGTGCTATCAGATAAGGACATTAAACATCTGAAATTTAATCCATCTTACATTTCTTGATTGATAAAATTAAAACAAAAAGGTTTGGATTTTTGATCTGATAGAAAATAGTTTTAAAACTGTAAATTTAGGATTCAGAATTGTTTTAAGTGTATTTTTATATTATGTAGGTTAATAATGCAAGTTAAAATTCTGAAAATATTTCTTACATAAGTTTTGTTTTCTATAAATAAATTGATGATGCTTGAAAATTTGTGCAGATAAAGGAAAATTTCTAAGTTATTTTTAAAATCAAACAAAATGATGTAACAGTAATAAAATTTTTAGCTCTTGACCTTGCAAAGAATGAGCTGTCATGGAAAAAAAATTTTTTGCATTTAACTTCCAAAAAATTTGGCTATCTTTTTAAGTATAATTTTGGAAATGAATTCTTTAGATTTAAAATTTTTTTTATTTTCTTATTAAATAATAATATATTTAATATTTGGTATTAAAATTAAAACATTAGTAAATAAGTATATATTTTTAAGCATTAATAGTAAAATACATAAATAAGAACTCAACAAACCCAATTTTTGTTGAGTTCTTGTTTATGAACTGTACATACACAAAAAGATTCACTGCACAGATAGCAGAAATTGACTAATAGATCATTTGAAATAATACTTGCAATTATTCAAATGAGGTATAAAGTTTATAAAGTAGTTATTTAGTCCTGAAAATGGTCAGATCTGAAAAATATGCAGTAAAAATTATAAACACATAAAATATGCATCATCAGACAACATTAATTTGATCCACTTGATCCAAAATTGTGTTTATATCAAGGTTTCAACACCATAGTATTTAAGGAAAAATATGTATGTGCATACATGCCTGGTTATTACACATGTATATAACACAAAAATTATAATAGACTAATTCAAATATTTTGTGTGTATGTTTGCAATTTACAGAAAGACATAAAAATGCATCATTTTTTTCCTCCTTTTTTATTTTTATCATTTCCTTATTATTAAAGGTTTAACAATTCATTGTCATTTTTTAAGGAAAAAACAGATACTTGTTTATTTTAATGTGTTTAATTTTATAAATAATAATTTATACTACTGACTTTTTAATTTAGAAATTAAAGGTCCCAATAAGTGGCTAGGGTCGTTGCTCTTTCCAATGGATAAAAAAACTGTTGAAGAACGACGACAATTTTTAGAGAAATATTTACAAGAGCTTTGTTCATGTAAAGCCATAGCGGCATCTTCTGAGTTGCAAGAATTTTTAGCTTATGGAGGAGATGCTAGTATTGCTTATGTTAGAAGAATAGCTGAAAATATCGGTGTTCCAAGAATTGATAAAGTAAGTATTTTTTTAATATATATAATAATTTATTTATTTTATATAAAAGTTGTGTTTTTAAGTATTTGATATCATTTTTATGTTACATAACTATTTACTACATTATAATTCACTATTGTCCTATTTATTATGAAGAATAATGAAAAAATTTAAGAAAGTGTTAAAATAGCATTTGCATATAAATGCTATTTATTTTTATATTTTTCTTTTCTACACAACCAAAAATAAAAATATTTATGAATATTGTTTCTACATCATATTAAATTTTAAACATAAAAAAAATCTATTTTACATAAATTAATTGTAACAAATTTTAATTTAATTGATGATAATTATTTTAATATAAGTAATTATAAGTATAAAAAAATTTCAATTACAGTTAACATTATATATTGTGAATAGATTTATTGTACTTTTTTCCCCACAAGTTATGTGTGTTTAAAAGGCAATTTGAAAGGAGGTGCAGGTTATATGCCAATTTTAAATCACAATTAAAAACTAATCAAACAGCCTTTCTTTTACCTGAAACCATTAAGAGGGTATTTAAAGAACATGAAAAATTATTTGTGTGCCACAAGCACATGCTCCTGCCATCATAATTTTTTCTGAAACCATTAAAGGCTTGTCCATGTTTTAATTGATGTTGAATATTTCTATTTGAATCTTGAAAGCTAATAAATTTCCACTAATTATTGCTTATCTCCATAATAGTGTCACTTCAAAGAACTTTCATGGTTAAGACATAATGCAATAATTAACATTCTAATAAGCCTATAAACTTGCTTGTTTTCATTACTATAGAATGAATTTTGATGATTAAAAATAATTATATACATTTAAAACAATAGTTTTTAGCAACATTTTAATGTTTGAAGTGGTCTCTTCTAAACTGCATGTCAGTAAGGTCATTCTTTCAAGGGTTGCTGCAGAGGCACAGGATATATGATTGGCAGGTTAAGTGAAGATTAATATTTCTGTCCTAGCAAGTTTCTGCAGATTATATATTATTCTGTTATCTGCACAAAATTATGGTAATTGAAATTTTCTATCAGTTATGAGATATGTTTTTAAATGGAATATCAACTTTTAATAAAATAGGTTAAAATGCTTTATTTTCTAAAAATAAATTTAAATCAATTTTGTAGATGCTATATAAAGGAGTAATGGGAGCAATTGATCTGATTAAAACTGCCCTTCCTGCTACAGGACCACAAGATGAGATAAATGAGAAGCCTTTATCAATACAGAATATAAAAAGTATTCCACATAAACCCTCTCTTTTTTTACCTGTTTTTGGCAAATCAAAAGTTGACAGTTCACAGCAACACATGGAAGTAAAATTTGTTGATAATCAAGTAAGTAATTTTTACAAATATGTATTATTAAAACATATTTTAAAACTTTATTTCTACTTTCCTGAACATTTTACTAAAAAGCAAAATATTAAATAAGGATGATGCCTTCTCATTAAAAGAAATATATTAGTTTTAATTTATTGATACTAAATATTGTTTAGTGAAATATTTAAATTGAAGTTCCTTGTTAATCATAATTAAATTTTTTTTTATTAATATCAGTCTGTTATGACTATAATCTATTAATAGGACTTATTATACTGATTTAACTTGTAGATGAAACTAGAGAGATTGAATCAGTTTCTTGGTTCAAATGAATAAACTTTTATTTACACCTGTAAACAAATTTTCTTGTATTTTGGACCTTTTCATCCCTTCCCAGCAGGTGTTTTATTAATTACATTTTTTATATACTTTATATGGCTTATACAAACTTATGCATGATTCTTTCAAGCTTTTCCCTTTTTTGAAGGAAAAAACTTCAAATATACATTGCTTATCTCTTCTAATTTTTTATTTTTTAGCTTTTTATTTTCTTTTCCTTTCTATTTTCTGTATTTCTTTTACTCCTGTATTTCTTTTTGGCTGTATGTTTTGCCTTAAGGAGGAATAATGGAACCATACCTTTGTCCTGTTGTATATACCAACCAACTCCAACAATCTTTAAAGCTATAAAATAGCATTCTTTAGAGCCCTTACAAAAAGAGTCTACACCCATTGCACTAAAGCAGAACTGAATCACATTGCAGATGTACTGTAGCTACAGCATATCACTAACTTATAGACTTAGTCTATAAGTTAGCCCTCAGGCATGAGACAAGGGGAACATGACCTGACTATGCAGAGTGGTGCTTGCACAGATAATGCATCACTACAAGAGCCTGTTTGAGATTAACTTAGACATGACTGTCATATGTTTAAGTTTATTAGAAACAAGAAAGATCTGATTGACTCCAGCAGAACACCTGCGCATATCCTATTGGTTAATCTTTGGTTTTAAATTTGAATTTCTATAGAGTTCTTCTGCACATTATATTTTTGAACATTGAAGGCTGGGACATTCCATTTCTCAAAATTTGTATCATATTTTTGCAATTGACCAGTGTGCTGCATGTAACCAGGGGAGAACACAATGCTGGAAACCCTGGGTTACTGGAATGCTGGTTAAACTGTGATTAAAAAATAAAATTAATCAGATCTAACAAAACTAATTGTTAAAGAAAACATTTTTTGGAGTACAACAAAGTAATAACTTTGTAATTTGACTGTCTTACAACTAGAAAGAGTGTTGGTTTACTGGGCAATAAAATAATTAGCATCTTTTTGACATTAGTAGTAGTTAGTCAGTGTGGACTGCACTGACAATATACTCTGACCTTAGAAAATAACACCTTCCTCTCAAATTTCACACAAAATAGATGTCAATCATGTAAGTTAAGATAATTTACAGTGAGTTTTTGAAATTTAATGTTTATTTTTGCATTTTTGAATTAAATTACAATAAAACAAACAAAAAATGCACTTTTGGCATTCTGTCAGTATTTTACATCATTAGAAAGAAGACATAAGTGAAGAAATTATACATCTAATCTTAATTTTTGATGTAATGCTGAGTTTCCCAATTTTAAAATAAAAACTTGCATCTGTGAATTTCATCTGCCCTCTGGAGAGAGATATATAACATCACCTAAACTGGCATGCNAATTAAATACCAGCTTTTTAGTTTTTTGAGTAATTTTGTTTTTCATCTTCCTTATTGAAGTTAATTTTAATCTTTATTAATTCTTAAAATTTAATATCATTATCAATTTTTATTCAGTAAACTTTTGGTACAGTAGAACTTGGTTAAGTTCTTCAAGCAACCAATTTAAACAACTTAAGTGAGAAAGTTTTCTTTCAATGATCTATATTTTAATTAACAATGATAGATTCCTTGTATTTCAGTGAATTAGGCTTAAACAGTATCTGTTTATTTAGATATTTGTCTAATGTAGCCTGCTTCATCCATTTTTTTTTACATAAAATATTACAGCTGTCCCTTGATAATCCGACAAGTATAGGACCAAAGGGATGTCAGATTACCAAAAGTGTCCGGATTACCAAAAGTGATTATATATTTGGCATTGTTTTGCTAGCAGTAGCCTACAGTATTCTCTACTCCAACTGTTCAAACAGAACTGCTTGCAGAAAACATACGAAATGTGTGTCATCGTGTAAGAATTGGGTGGGGAGATTCATGTCACGACATGCTTCTGTGCAAGCAGACACATAACGGGGACGGGTACCTTGACGGGAGGTGCGTTGGACTACTGAGCATGTTGGATTACAAAATGTCTGACTTTCAAGGGACAGCTGTATATATTAACTCTTTAAACCTGAAATCAGTCAAAACCAGCCTTATCTGTTAAAAATGAAATCAGTCTATTGAAAAGTTGTTAAACTGGTTTTACTGTACAAGTTCTCATTGTAGCTGGAGGGGTAAAACAATGTAGTCATTAGCAAAAGAGATAAAGTAAGTATTCAAAGTTCAAAGAGTTAAAGTAAAACCTCTCTAAATAAAACTGTTTTAACTTGAAGCTATCAAGAGCTCTTGGTCACGGTATATTCAGGATTCCTATACACTTGAAAAGTCAGGGATTTTCATTAGTGTTCAGAAAAAGTCATGGAATGTCAGGAAAATTGTCAAAAAGTCAGGAAATTTGCTTCCTTGTCTGCCTTGTTGATTTTTTGCTGACAATGTTTGACTAAGTGTAGCCATCTGCAGGCAGCAAGAAGTAATGTGGTGCAATACAACTTATGAAAAGGGGTGCAGAATATTTTTGGGACCCAAAATTTCTCCCAAAACATTTTTCCAAAAAAATTACAAAGTGCACAAAATGATAAATAGTTTAAATGTTATCATTTTTCATTTCAATAATTTTGATTGTGTAACAAAACAATTTCTGATTTTTTTTCAGTTTATTAATATTTTATAAAGTTCAGGAAATTTATTGAAAGATAAATTTAATAAATACAGTAAAACCTGTCTGTGGTGACCACACATGATTCCTTTCAAAAAAATAATCTTTTAGACAGGTGGTCATCCATACCATATTTCCACACGTATTTTGTGCACTTTTTAGCCATTTCTACTAAGCAAAATTTGAGCTATAAGCAAATTTTTTTTGACGATAGCACTATGTTGGTATTTTATTCTTATCAGATAACTCAATTAACAGGAGTCATCGTAATTTCATAAGACAGATTTAATACCAATATTTTAATGATTAATATAGTATTTGCATTTTCTTGATTATAATGCACACTTTTTTTTTTCTGACTTAATTAATTCAACTTGGTTCTCTTCATTTGCTCTTCAGTTACGTGTATTACATCATTGATATAGAAGTGCATGGTATCTCTCTACCACTTCAGTTTTGGTTTTCATTAGTTTAATCTTATTTTAACTTTAAAAATATTGTATTTTTTTTAAGTATTTGATATTTTCTTAAGTACAATAAAAAAATTATTAATTAATAATAACGTGATTTTTATTATTTCTTCTCATTACAGGAATACAATCTAATACAAGAAATTGCTCAATACATAGAAAAATTTGATATAAATTCATCTGAAGGAAGTCTTGATAATGAAAGTATAACTTCAGATAGAAATTTAAATGATTTAGAAAGGAGTGAAAGTATTAATTCAATGGATATCCCTAATATTGCTCAGCTTGGAAAAGCATGTACAAAATTAAAGATGTCAGAATTTCAAAATTATAATGAAGAATGTAAGTAGGGATTATGTACTTTATGAAGTTTATTATTGTTGTATGTTACTCTGCTATTATAGGCTAAAATATTAGATTTATGTTATTTATAATAGTGTATAAAATTTTAATGTATATTCATATATACATCTTTATATATGCATTCATATTTTATCAGTGATTTACATATATTTGTTTAACTTGTTATGTTTTTTTTATATTTTGGTAATTAATATATAGTAGAGCATTAATTATTCAAATCAATTGGGGACTGGGGTTGTTTGGAAAATCGATTTTTCGGATAACTGATTATGTACGAAAAAATATATTAACCTATCCCATGTTGAAATTCGTTCAAATCCTGGCACATCCTTAAGTACCCTCTCGTGGTCGCACCAGTGCTGCCAGCTGAAACATGCACACCAACAAAAATAATATTGGAGTAGCCAAAACATAGCCAAAGATTGCAGCGCCACAACACTAGCAGAAACTTAAATTTGCTGACTGAAATGTCAATTAACCGAAAGCTGGAAAGCTTTCGGTTAATTGACATTTCAATTGATCAACATTTGGATAGTCGATGCTCTACTGTAATCTAAAAATTCTGATTATGAAAAATCATAAAGCTCTTAATATACTTAATTTAATTANAAAAATAACTAATTAAAATGTTAGAGAAGTAAAACATATGTGCATAGTAAATCAAATGCTGTTTTATTTTGTCAATGTGTCAAATGTAAGGGACATGAGGGTATCACCCATGTAGAAATATAAAAGTATTCTATTGCATATCTATTGGAAATGCCCACTTATTTTGATGATGTCACACTTGGAATATTGCTTTATTTGCTTCGTTATATTTGCAAGTCCTCACTTAATATCATTGAGGAAAGTACTGTACAAGTACATTTATGATCATTTTAATTATTGCTGTTGAATTTTCTTTAGAAATAGTATAATTGATTCTTTGAATTGGAATTGCAAACATGATTAATAAGAATAACAATAACCAACTTATATCTTGTTTATATCAATTAGCATATGGTAAAATTGGTTTTTTTATACATCATTTTGCTTAACATTGCTGTTTCCAATATATAAATGTCATTACGTGAGGACTTGCTGTACATTGATGTTTTACATGACAAAAGTTGCTGGAATAACCAATCTTTCCTTTTTTTTTCTTTATGAATTATAGTGAACATGCTAATTTTATGTTTTGTTATAATAGGTTTGTTTAGTTTTTGGGATTTCCTGTAATTATATTTTGTGATAAATTCATATAACTTAACTGACAGAGTACTCATTCTGACTAGAATTTTCTATTGAGATAAAATTACATTTTGTTGAATTTAGGAGTTTAAAAGTAATTTTATATTGCAAAAAGCTAAACTATACAACTGTCTCTTGGCATTATGGAAAAAGATTTATTTCACAATTACTATTGACAATATATGTCCTCTTCAGGCAATATCATTCATAGAGAACAGAACATTTGAATTAAAGAAATAGCACAATAGTTGCTGTTTGTGTTCTATTTTTTGATTTTACATACAACGGTTTGATTTTAAAAATTGTTCATTTCAAAACTAATACAAGCTCATATTATTATTATTTTAATTTTTTTTTATATCAGTGAATAGATCATTTTTATTATTAGTTCCAAAATATCAAATAAAAGAAATTCTAAAGATTCTTTCATGAAGAGTTTTTGGTATTTACATATTCAGGTTTTCTTCAAAATTTCTAATTATATTATTAATAAAAATATATAATGTATTAATTTATTTAGTTTTTTCATAAATAAAAGAATTATTAAAATATTTATTAATACTTTTATAGAAAGAGCCAGTTAAGCACACTAACCAGTTAAATGTAATAAAGCAGGGCTGTGGAGTCGGAGTCGTGGAGTTTTGATGTTTTAGTCGGAGTCGGATGGTAAGGAAAAGTCGGAGTTGGAGTCGGTAGATTTTTACGCGACTCCACAGCCCTGTAATAAAGACAATCACAAACTAGACCATTTTTGAACAGATGAAAATGTTTATATGAGTAAAGTCTGTTGGGATTTTAACAGGTCTTGGTGTTTGTAATTGTTTTCATTTTATAGAAAGATATTATAGAAATCATATATTTGATATAATTAAAAATTGTAACAAAAACTGCTTTACTATAGTCACTGTTTGTTGTAATTTTTATTATAGTGTTTTTTGTTATATAAACAGGTTTTAAGAATTTCAAATGATATATTAAATATTTCTATTTTATGATTTCAGGTGCACAACAAAACTTAAAATCTGAAATTCCATTGGCTAATGCTGTGATTGATTTATATATAAATTCTCTTAAGTCATTCTTTCCTTTGTTTGGGAATCCATTAATAATTGTAGGATTAAAAATTGCAATAGGAAATTTTTTAGATAAGTATGTTTACTTTATTATTATAAATAACAAATATCTTTTAAAATGGAATTATTTTTGATATTTTTAAACAGCACAATCTATAAAGCACAACTAATAAAGTTGTTGTTGTTATTATATTAAATTGTAAAATTTAGTTAAATGTCTAGTTTCATTAAATTTTCAAGAAAATTAATACATTGTTTAAAAAAGGTACGTTCTGAAACTAAAATTTTTAAGAGGCTCTCCATAATTTTAAAGATGAAGAGCCTCTTAAAAGATCAGAATATAAACGTTTTGACGTATAATTAAAGTTTTATTTTCAATATTTACTTGAGGATAGATAGAGCTTAAGATAATATTACCTTTATAATATTATCTTTGAAGTAATTTTGTCAGAATCATATGATACTCAAAAGATAAATTTTGAAATCTTAACACACACAAAATTTTTAAAAAATGAATATGTTAATACACTGTTTTTTAAGTACATTTTATTTTTATAATTGAAATACTATGTTAAAACAAAACTAAAATAAATTTATACATCATGTAATTTTGGTAGAATCATTTCAAAAATAATTTTTCTCCTTTCTTTTTCCTTATGTCTGTTGCCTATAAGGAATGACTGGCATTTTCATTTTAAAATTCCAGTCTTTCCTTAATGCCAAAATTTGAAAAGAAAATATTAATACAATATACATTGCAAACTCATTGAGAAGTTTTATTTAAAAAAACATCTAGCTGATGATTTTCGCAATGATTCATCTCAATTTCTTTAATATTTATTTTTCTGTTTAATTATATTAAACACAAACTTTGTAAATAGAAAGAATAATAATATGAAGAAGTTAAAATGTTAGAAAAGATTAAGAAGTCCACTTTTTTATTGCAATTTAAATATTTTCTGGGACTACACATCCCATCATCAGAATCCAAACCCAAAATGGAATCCTAATATCAACAACAGGTCCTAATGGCAACACCATTAGAATGCATTGTTGATATTACATATTGTCATTAACTATGCTATTTATCCAATAAGATATTCAGTTTATATGTGTAAAGCTGTGTGATAATACAACTTTACATATATAAACTGCATATATATACAGTGCATCATAAAAAAAATTTCTAATGTCTTGTTTTCATACAAAAACTATGAAATACAGTTATCTCTCATATAACACTGTAGTCAGGTTCCAAAAACAGTCCCATGTTATGCAAATCTGTGCTTTAAGAAACAAAGGACTAATGCAAAACATAGGGTTAGACTCCAAGTTAGCAAAAGTAAACTATTCATTTTTGCAATTAAAAGAAATATGTTTATTAAAACAATCAATAATTGACTAACAATCACAATAAAAAGTATTGCACATTAATATTAATTTTTCTTTACTGCTAAACCCATTAAACACCAAGGAATATCATCGTCATTTGAGCCTTCCTGTTGATCTTAATCTTAAAAACTTTTATTTCCATAATTTTGCTTAAGTACAAAAATAAAGTTGGTTTTTTTTTCTACATAATATGAAATTATAAAATATTAAAAATCTTATATTTGTGTTTTTGTTTCTCCTCTATTCTCCTTATATTACAACAGATTTCCTCTTTAATACAATAAAGTTTGGTTTCATTTAATAAATACTTTTTACTAAATAAGTATGCCATGATATTCTAAATATTAGCAATTTAATAGAAATAATATAAATTAAACTCCTTAATTTGTTTACATTTATTACTTAATATTTTATATTAATATTTATTATATTATAATAGTACTTTAGTAATTAATGTAAACATTATATATGCATAATATAACTCTCCATAAAAAAAATACATCAGGATACATTATTTTTAGAAATTAATTTTAGTAAATTATAATTATAAATTAAAATTATATACTACTATATAATTTTTCAATATTTTATATTAATATATGGTACTTGTAAAGAAACTTAAAATTATATTGAAGTAAATGAAACTGATTTCAGAATAAGCAAATAACTTTTTGAATGCAGGTATTTGGAAGAGAATATTTATACTTTGTTCAGTTTTGAAAATTGTATTAACTACTTACATCTGCTTCATTTGGTGCTATGGCCTGAAGAAGAAAGTTTACATCCAGATGAACAATCACAACAATCAGATGACAGAAGTTGTAAGACAGATGCTTTGAATGCATTAAGGTCATTTTTACCAGGTGAATAAATATTTATCTTAAAAATAAAGCAAAAATAAATTCATAATAAAAATTGGCATACATTTAATATAAAATTAAGTGGAGATATATTAATCTATTCATTATTTATTTAGGTATTAAAATATATATTATGATCATCATTTATGATTACTTTCATTTAATATTTCATGAGATAAAACAATTAAGTTAGATATTTTATATTAGTTTATATAAATATATTTAAGACTGTTCATTCAGTTTTATTGTTTAGTTTATAGTAAAATGTTCATATCTTTGCTGTAACTTACAAGGAGAGCCTACGGCTTTGGGGTAACGGATTTTGATGATCTTTGGTTTAGAGGTAGTACACCATGTGAGTGTACTACCTGTAAAATACTAAAGTGCAATACTCAAATATAATCAAGAAAATCAAACTTAAAGTTTTTTAGCACTTTATATATAAATTATACGTACTTCTATTTGAGCGTCCTGTGGCAGAGTGGTAACGAGTCCGATTCATAAGCTTGAGTTCTCGGGTTCGATTCTCGCGTATAATTTTTTTTTTAATTCATAAATACTTATAATGTATTTATTTATTTACTCATTCATTTATTTCTTATTATTTATTTATTTTAATTTAATTTCTACTATTCCAAGTCTAATATTTTTATACTTTTGTTGACAATAACGGCGCATTCTTGACACCTATGTGTCAACTTTCCCATCTAATTGTTATCACTAACGGTGACCGATCTAATTCTCACTAGGAGCGTTTTTTCTATCGGAGTTCTTTTTCACTCACTCTTTAACAGTTCGTTTCTAAATTTCGACACGAATAGACGTATTTGTGTAGTAAAACTTATTTTGAAAAATTATTTTATAATCAAAAAATGTCGTCAAGAGAAGCAAGTTCTTCACGTTGTGACGAAAAAACTGTTGATGATAACTCTTTATACAGTGATGTAAAATACTAACTTGTAAAGTGCAAAACTCAAATATAACCAAGAAAAACGAATATAATTTATTGAAGCAATATTATATAATTACATATCATTGTCAGATGTACATGATCGTGAATGATACTTATGATAAAAACATTCAAAACAAAAATTCTGTCTACACCAAGAACAACAAATAAATGCTGCTTTTTTAAAAGGTATCATCAACAGTTTTTTCGTCACAACGTGAAGAACTTGCTTCTCTTGACGACATTTTTCGATTATAAAATAATTTTTCAAAATAAGTTTTACTACACAAATACGTCTATTCGTGTCGAAATTTAGAAACGAACTGTTAAAGAGTGAGTGAAAAAGAACTCCGATAGAAAAAACGCTCCTAGTGAGAATTAGATCGGTCACCGTTAGTGATAACAATTAGATGGGAAAGTTGACACATAGGTGTCAAGAATGCGCCGTTATTGTCAACAAAAGTATAAAAATATTAGACTTGGAATAGTAGAAATTAAATTAAAATAAATAAATAATAAGAAATAAATGAATGAGTAAATAAATAAATACATTATAAGTATTTATGAATTAAAAAAAAAATTATACGCGAGAATCGAACCCGAGAACTCAAGCTTATGAATCAGACTCGTTACCACTCTGCCACAGGACGCTCGAATAGAAATACGTATAATTTATATATAAAGTGCTAACAAAACTTTAAGTTCGATTTTCTCGATTATATTTGAGTATTGCACTTTAGTATTTTACAGGTAGTACACTCACATGGTGTACTACCTCTAAACCAAAGATCATCAAAATCCGTTACCCCAAAGCCGTAGGCTCTCCTTGTTAGTCATAAAATGTTTTTTGATAAAATTACACAATATGATCACTTTATTAGAACACGTACTCATAGAGAAACTTTAAAGTTTACAGTATACTACTGTGATCAAACGCATCAGAAATGGTTCATTTAAAATGTGCACATGCAAGAGGGTGCTGTCATCATTTGGTATGATTTCCATTGACATCTAACAGCAATCTGTGCCATCATATGTTTTTGTTTGCAAATAAATGCTTGTTTTGTGTGTAAAGAATTTTTGCATTAGTGATTTTTCAAAATGTTGAGTGCAATTGAGCAAAGTGCATTAAAATTTGTTTTTGCAACAGAATTATTGCTACAAAAACATTGGAAATGTTGCAAAAAGTCTTTGGTGACAATAGTCTATCAAAAACAAGAGTTTGAGTGGTACAAGATATTCAAGGAAGGCAGAGAACATATTGAAGGTGAACCATGCTCTGGTAGCTCATCCATTTCAACTGATGAACAACATTTTATTTGAGTCAGAGATTTGGTGCTCAGTGATCATTGTTTAACAACAATTAGGAACATTATTGAACATGTTCCAATACCATTTGGATCCTGTCAAGCCATTTTAAAAGATCATTTGGGCTTGCAGTATATCATTTCTCTAGTTGTCCCAAAAATATGTTTGAGTGGCTGAGGAAATGCTTTCTCCAGGCAAATCATTCTTAAAATGCATCATTATGGGTAATGAAACATGGATCTATGCTTTTGATACCAAAACAGCTTAAAAGTTGAGTGAATGGCTATCAAAAGGTGAGGTGAGGCTGCAAAAGACCCTGTTAAAGTCTGTCAAAAATCAAAGTTGTGTTGACTGTTTTCTTCAATTGTCATGGTGTACATCACAGATTCCTTCCAACCAGCCAAACTGTGAACAAAGAATATTATTTGAGCATTTTCCATCATTTGCGCAAAGCAATTAGTAGAAAATTATTTGGTTTTGGTGAGAAAACTTGTGGATTTTGCACAATAATATTGTTCACAATTCTCTTGTTGTTCGTGAATTTTTGGCCAAAAATTCATGAACAACAAATGTGGTTCTGCAAGCTCCATATTCACCCAATATGACATCATAGTACTTTTTCATGTTTCCTCAACTAAAATTTCAACTTTGTGATCACCGTTTTGACTCAATGCCTTAAAACAATATTTGTTGAGTCCCAAAGGGGTTTCATGAAAACAACTTTAAAACATGTTTTGAGGATTGGAAAAAAATGTCTGTTTAAGTGCATTGCAGTGGGAGGGGATTATTTTGAATGAATAAATTCAAATCTTGCATTCTATTGAACCATTCTCAATACTTTTTGATCACTGGGATATAATAATTTACATCAGATAAGGTCTAGAATTAATTATGAAAGGATCAGAGCTAATGCTATTCTTGTAATTATATAGCATGATTATTTAATATTATAATTAATTATTGCATTTATCAAAAATTTATTTGCTTTGTTTTAGACAAAAATAATAATAAAATTATTTTTTAATTTGAGTAATTAAATTATAAATGATGTTGAAAAAGGACACAATATGAGACATTTATTGTTTCTTCTAATTTGTGACATTTTTTTAATGTAAATGTACTTTGTTTTCTGTTACTTTAGTTCATTTATTGGATAGATCCATTATCATGTGTGTGTAAAGGATTCTGGAGAATTCAAAAAATTTCTCTAAATAGATTATGATCAATAAAATTTAGTTTCTGACATCTTCCCCTGCAAACTATTCTAGAGAGATCAAAATAAGTGGTAATCTGAAGGCACAGTTCAGGAGAATATGGGATGGCACAAAACATCCCATCCAAATTCCAGTAATTTTTTCTGAGTGATCAAAGATGTGTATAGTCTACCATTTGTGATGCTGGAAAGCCACACTTCTTGCTAATGTTGGCTGTTTTTTTATGGTTGCTTCCAGATTATCAAGTTGGAGAACAGTACTTCTCTGTATTAATGGTCTGGTTTTGAGATAGAGAGTTCATAGTAGATAGTCCCTGTCAAGCCCATCACATGCGCAGCATAATCATTTTTGGACATTAACTGTCTTTTGATTGCATCATAGGGGGATTAGTTGATTTTCTCTGTACATTGTCATAAACAATCCATTTTCTATCACTTCAAAAAAGAATCAAGGTGGTTAGTTTCAGCAGCAAATATAGGCATATGTGAGATAAGCCAGGGACATCGGCTGTTCCCCAGATGCCACTTAATCGGCACAGGTTGTTAAAACCCAACCTCGGTGTCGTCGGATGGCTAAAACTTGATAGGATGGCAAAATCGAGTGGGGAGTATGTGAGCAAGTCGAGAAGTGTCCATTTTTCAAAATGACAGGAGAGAGGTTTAACATATAACAAAATAAAAGTTTATTAACTATAACTAACCCTATAATATACAGATCACTATGCAGTTAAACGCGATTATTGACTATTTTCACAAGGACAACGACTAATTTCTAAGCTCTATCATGTGCCTAATTTCTGCTTCGAGAGAGAGTTGACAAAGTTCTAGCGCTAACATACATAATACCTCTCAGTCGTAATGGAGAGTTGTAAGCAACAATTGTTGTTTCCTGGAAGAGTCTGAGCTGTTGAACTGTCTTCCAACCTGTGTCTCCTCCTTGGACTGGATCAAGTCCGTTGAATAGAGGTCAGGGAGACAAAATGGGCACTATCACCAATTATAACTTCGTTAGATTGCGCCTCAAGCTTCCGGTAGCTCTCACTTTTATCCTATTGTTGTGGGAAAGGGATCACCTGATCGTCAAATGTTGACAATGACGAAACATTTTTGACAGCTATTTTTTATCTCTCACATATATTACATCTATCCAATTTCTCTCACTCAATTAATCCAAACATCATATCATATATGTATCCTAAGTTAAGTAAATGTTCAATAACTGATATCTGAGCAATAGATACTTCTGCAATTTCCCCGGTGGTGTAATGCAATCACTGAATTAATTCAAGAACCTGCATCATCATGAACAGCTGAACCAAATATTTTATGTTATGCTGTATTAAAGTTTATATTTTTAAATTTGTTGAATCTTTTTAGAAAAAATCATATTTTCATACTTAAAATTTGGAATAAAAATTTATTTTACAGAGATATTGAAAATCTTCAATAATAAACTGTTTGAAAAAAGCTCATTGTTGTTGCATGACTCTCTCCAATATTCTCAGTTAAATAGGTAAATATAAATTGTCATTATCATCATTTTTTTGATAATTAAAAATACAACTAAATTTTCATGTTTTTCAGGTGTCTTATTTATCATATTTTAGATCATTTAATGGATCATTTTTGTGCCAGAGATGACATTCATCTTCAATAATGTGTGTATTAATGTTGTAATTAAAACTGGTCAACAACATGCACATCATATTCTGTGATAAACGTAAAGGTTTTATAAAGTATCAAGAATGCACATTTAGAAATTTGTTCAAAAAACTGTTGTGTTTATGTATATATATGTTTGATGCCAAAAATAATGATCACAAAAAAAAAATAAAGGATTTGTTGTAATAAGTACAATTTATTTTTTTAGTAGTTTTATGTAAGACTGTAGATGTATCATAATAGTTTAAATATATAATATCTAGTAAATTGATAAGTAATGCAATAAAGTTTTAAATTTCAAATGAAGTACAATTCTGTAGTTTTAACAAATTTTATAAGTATTATTTAAAATTAACAACATTACCAAGAATCTCTAGATAAATAGTGGACTGATTTTCTAATAATTTGAATTATTGTTTGATACAATAATGTAACTGGAAATTTAAATATTTACAAAAGTCAAAAATAAAAAAGCATTCCACTGATCATAACTCTATTCTTAATTTAAATTTGATGCTAATTTATATTTTTTAAAATCTTAAATTTCTGAAAAGTAATAGAATGTAATAAAGACATTTAACATTATATAGATTAATAACATATCATGATAATGCATGATTAATGGATTGTTTTTATATCTGAATTTGGGAATATTCTTTCCTAAAAAGACACACATTACTATGTACAGTACAATATATTTCAATATTAAACATTGGTATTGAAAGAAATATTTTATCGTGTAAATGAACGTTTTTTTGTACACTAAAACATACACAAATTTTTTCTAAAAATATTTCCCTAAATTCATTGTACATATTTAAACAAAATTTTTTCCATACAAACCCATATATATTCTAATTAAAACTAAATTTTTATAACAATTCAAATGACCTTCAATAACAAAACTTCAGGCTATTTCCTGTTTTTACAATGAATTAGCATTCTATTATATCTGTTGGTGCAATTGGATTATATTATTTTGATTTAATTGATTAAATGTAGAACTGATGCAATATCTAAATTTGTGTGTTCCTAGGCAAGTTATAGTTTTCCTTCTGTTTTATTTATAGACAATTCTAATACACTGAAAATGATATTTTTAAATCGTTATAAAAAAAATATTGGTTCTTTGGATAATTTATTTATTACAAATTATTTAAGATATTAAAATATGTAATTGAAAATTATATGAGACTTGTTCTAGATAAGGTACCTTTTAAGATAATTATATTAAGGCTGATTTATACTTCATTACAATGGAAAAGAGGAGAAAATGATGGTAAGTAGGTTTAGCATATAATACTTCATGCATTATGTGACCAGTCAACTTTTCTCATTTACCAAAAGAGAACAGAAGTAAAAGTTCTACTTTTCTCTGTTGGTAGCCTAAAATTATTTGCATCTGTCAACATGGAGACTGATAAATTATAATTTAATTCTAATTGAAGATAAGATATATAAATGATATAGTAGTATTTAACCATTTCATGTTCTTTATAATAATAAATCATTAAAAGATGAAAATTTTTATATACAACTAGTACAAAGAGTCAACATAAAAATGGGAACTTTATTTTAAATCCCAACAATACTGTCACTTCCTTGAAGATTATACAGTAAAAGTTACTCTGCAAGAGCAAAATATTGGGATGTATAATATCTAATGTATAAAATCAGACTCCTCTGTTTGGAAGATTCTTCACTTTATAAATTCGTACCAGCCAGTGTTCACTCGTGTATGCTTCTTCAAGCACATCCAATTCAAAATCTTTATTTCCAATTTCTGCATTTCTTACCCTGTCATAACCGGGTGGTTTGCCTACAGAATCAGATAATGTATGTAAGTGTTAAAAGGCATTGAAAAAGTTATGCTTCATACCAAACTCACCAGCTTCTGTGTAGACAGAACCAAATCTGTAATAACACATTTTGTACATCAGGCAGTTGAGCAATACGGGCGAACCATCTCTATCGATTCGAAATTCACCAGACGGAGTATAGTAATCTTGTTCTTTGATGTGTTTTCCTCTTTCAGTACTTCCTCCGATTCTCACCATCCATAGAAATTTATTTATATCTATAAATATTAATTTTAAATTGATAAATTAAATTTATATTAAATAAAATATGATTAATATTTTTTTATATATTACAACTTTACAATAAAATCTCAATTATTAATTTTTGAATATTTGCATTATTTAGTAGAAAATAACTTTCTCAGAAAAATAAGTATTATAATATTAAACTGAACAAAAATATTACTACTATGTCAATTCCTACAAATTTCTGAAAGAAGTAAATTGTAATTCTACATTCACCAAAAGTAAAAGGTAAATAAAAATATTTGGGTTTATCTATTCATTAAAAACTTTTGACCTGAATAATTTAGTAAATTCTATAAAATGAAAATATATTAAGAATTGAATGAAATACTAAAAAAATTAATGAATAATAATTTCTTCTCAGTTTTAATCTTGTATTATATTTCTTGTAATAAAATCATATAATATTCAGACATGTTTATTGTATGAGAAATTTTATCTGTACAGATACATACCATCTGAAGAATAACCAGTTAATCCACCAAATATAACAAGTACATAATTAACATCTAGTTCTTGCATAATTTCATAAGCCTTTTCTTCTGTAGAAGCCATTGCTTGTCCTACACGTGAAATGTGGGTATTGTTCCAAGTATTATTGTCCACTAAAATTGTCCTATTGGCCATTGCTGTTATCTGATATCCATAATCCCACCAAGACATAACTTTAGCATCCTGAAATTGGATCAATATTATAAATTTAATTAGTATATTTCACAATAATTATTTCAATTTTTTATTTATAAGTGTTTTACTTACTTTAATTTAAATTTATAATTTTAACATCTGATAGTTATCCGCAATTACAATTCAAATCTTTGAAATTAATTTGATTTTTAAGTTGAGAATAGGACTAAAAACAAAGAATATCTGATAATTTTGATAACTTCTTATATAAGTTAATATAGTTTATTGTTATTGAACATAATTCAAACTAACAGAAAACAAGTAAAGCAAGCGTAACTGAAATGAAGATATGCAGTATTAAGAATTCTGACATCAAATGAAACAAATTCTAATTAAATCAGTCTCCAACAGATCAACTGTTGTTTTTAATGCTCAAAATTATTGTCATACTTTATTTATTTAGGTTTTAAACTGTATTTTGAAGAAACATAGAGAATATAATAAATTTATGCTAATTATGGAAATACAGTAGTTTACAGTATAAAGCCTACATCAGTGATTCCCAAAGTGGGTCTATAGCCCCTGCGGGTGGTGAGTAAATCTAGATGCTAGATGCAGGGTACCGAACGATAACCATAAGCGAGGGTGGGGTCATTTATAACCTTTCCCTTTCCTCTGTTAAAATGGGCAAGAAGAAACATTGCATTTAATGGTTTCCAGATATGAAGAGCAATGTATGGTATAGACCAGGGCTTAAATTTTTTTTATTCACGACCCTATTTATGATTATTTTATATTTTTTTGGGTTGCGAAAAAATCACAAAGATATATACAAATTTGCAAAAACAATAATGGTGTACTACCAAAGTTCACTATTGTGTTACAATGGAACAGAGACAACTGAATACACTGAAAAGCGACAACACTACACTAGTTCACACTACAATCAGTGTTGCTGAATCGTTGTCTTGCTGCACCAGAAGTGACATAAAGCGCAACTCACGAAACCTATGATACAAAGCGTGCCATTTTCAAACTCTCACAAATTATTTTCAATATTTTGCATTAAAATCACGTGACCCCAAGATTTCGCTAAGCGACCCGAAATGGGGTCACGACCCATAGTTTAAGAAGCCCTGGTATAGACAATAATTCTCACATTCATAGAAAAGTTTTTCTAAGAATATTTCCAAGTCTTTCTCACACAAGAGAAAAATGGGTTAGGGGGCATTGAGATTAAGTTTATAGAACCAAGAGGGCAGTAGCTCAAAAATATTTGAGAATCACTGGCCTACATGATATATAGACTTAGGGTGGTCTAACTTTTTAGTTTATACTTATCTGGCTCCAAAAATCATGGGCCAGAGAAATAATTTTTTTACAAGTATGTAGAAAATAAAATATTCTCTTTTTTATTAATTAAGAATTCAAAATAACTAGACATGAGTGCTGAGCAGCATTTCTAAACACTAGAAATTTTCATACTGAAGTATCCTAGATAATTCAAATAATACATGGATACAAAGTGCTGGAAGTCAAAGGCAGACAGTATTTCCAACTTTTCAAAAATTTATTAATTTGTTTTTATCTCTTACAATATCATATCCTAAGCAGATAAATATTACTACTGAATATTTAATTACTACTATGAACTACTCAAATAATTATGTGTCAATTTAAAAATTAAAATAAGTTAATGCTATAACTGGTATAAAAAACTTACAGCAAAATGAACAACAAGGATGAAACTTCAATTAAAATTGATAAATGTTAAATATTAGTTGGGCATATTTAACATTTACCAGATGAATCCTTGTTATTGTTAAAATTTAAAATGATACAAGACTTATCAATGCCAAGAAAAATTTAATTTTAGAATACACTATAATAATACTTTATTTACATACAACATATTAAACAATTCATACTATGAAATTCTTATTTGATGGTACAAACTTTTAATTTATTCTGGATTTTCACATTAATTATAACTTTTTTAATAAGAATTTGTTAAAATATTAAATTGACATCAAAGTCATGGGAAGGGAAGTAAAACTTCCTTTGGGAGAGATGTTATCACATATCTGTCCATTTGTGTCAGAAATAATATCCCATCTGATGTTATAAATACTAAAACCCAAATGGAGAGAAATTTAGAATAAAAGGGAGAGAAATCATAAACTCAGGGCAGCAATTGAAGGTTACACAAACTTCCATAAAGGAAAGCAGAGGATCAAACACTGCCACATGAAAGTATGGATGCCATAATAAGCATATAGTTCCACTCAGGCCCTCCATCAGTCATCTTCATATTGAGAATCTCTACACATTGAACCAGATTAAATGCACTAGGTCTGACATAGATATTAATATATTAATATCATTGCAAACTCTCTCTTGGTAGTTAGAGACATACTTAGGTGATGTTTGCTTTATGTAGTTTATTTTCATGTTCATTAAATTTTATTTGTTAATCTACCTGCCTGTTCTTTTATTTAAACAGAAACCAATCAAATGTACCCATGATTCTTTCCATTCATTTTAAGACCCTCCTATTAAGCCATCCAGTGACCCAATGAGCAGAAGTAACTGTTCTGATGATTAGAGGGTTTACCTCGCCCATATTCTCACATTAAAATGTTTATTAAACAATTCTGAAATGACATATTTTATCTATGAAAAATGTTTTCATTACCTCTGGAGTATTATGTCTAAGCCAGTAATATGCTTCTCGAAAATCATCAAATATTATGCGAGAACCATCGTGACTACGTGCTGATAAAACAATTGACGGTGATGAATATGCTTCTGATGTAACCCAAGTGCAATGAAAGGTGTAAGTGATGAGGTAAACGGTCATAATTGTGATAAATGTCCAAGCAACCTGAAGAAGAAAACTTTTTAAATTAGAAAAATAATATATTGATAAAATAAAATCAATGTAAACTTAATATGTTAATTAAATGTAAAATTCTAGTAATTATATTAAAATAGTTATAATATACACATAACTCTCAATCTATACAGTAATTTGGTCCCATATAAAATCAAAATCATATAAATTGAGACTAACATATATATATAAGGATAGGTTCTAAAGTTTCATTTTTTATTAACTGGTAGAAAATGAATTACAGTAGTACCTCAGGATACGGAATTAATCCGTTCCAAAACTGAGATTGTATCATGAAAATGTCGTATTTATATATATANTATATATATATATTTATAATTTTTATAGTTTTATATATATAAAACAACACTAATTTTTTTAATTTTTATTCACTGCATTTTGCTTTCTTTCCTTTACTTCCACCAGCACTTTCACTGGATAGAGGTCACTTGGTAAAATATCTATCCAAAGAGGTTTGGCTTTGCCTACTTTTTAAAATGTTTCTAAAATGACTTAGGCAAATGTCATTACTCTGAGCAGCAATATGGCCAGTGTGAACCTTTTCAGGATGTTTGTTTTCAATAAAATCAGTCACTTTCTGATAATACCTCAAGATTTCCTTTATCGAGCAAGATCCTTCCATGACGAAGCAAACAAGCAGACTGAGACCAATGAACAGAAGTGAATAAAAAATGGCGCTGCGAATTAATGTAACATCATATGGTGAGTTTTTGTTCATACCGTGGAGCAAAAATATATTCAAATTTCATGTCATATCCTGAAAATTTTGCATGCTGGAGCGTTTGTGTCCTGAGGTACTACTGTAAAATCAAATTTCTTTCTGTGTCATCTCTATTTGTTAATAAAGCAACAATTTTCCTTCTCCTTTTTAGCTGAAGTCTTACATCACTTCTTTTACTAATTCATTCAAACCTAGTTTTGTTTTCTAATTAGTTTATTGACAATATGATAGTGTTGTTTTGATAAAATCAATCATCCAAGTTTAACTTCTTACAAACTTTCTACTATTGAGCTAAGTTCATGCACGTAGTGTGAAGTCATAATGCGATTCCTCTTTTCTTACTACAGTAGAGCATCGATTATCCGATCCCCGATCAACCGCCACATCGGTTAACCGACTGTTCTAGTCAGCAAATTCAAATGTCCGCTAGTGATGTGGCGCTACAATATTTGGCTATGTCTTGGCTACTTTAATATTATTTTTGTTAAATTTTGCATGTTTTAGCTGGCAACATTGTCTCGACCATGAAAGGGAGGCCAGTATTTAAATGAGGCTTAATTTTTAACGATACAATAGCGACGATTATTATTTTTAAAAAATTTTGTTACACTTAACATCGATGAAAATTCAACACAAAATAGGTTAATAGCGATATACTAATTACATGGGATATACTAAAATATATACTATAATGTATTTTTTCATACTTCTCGGTTATCTGTTTTTTCATTTATCCGACCAACCCCAGTCCCCAATTGAGTTGGATAATCGATGCTCTACTGTACATGTCTTTGTAAATATTTTTTCAGACATTTTTTCTCATCATAAACTTTATTATTATCTATTCTTTGATGTCTGAAGACATTACATGTATTACGATTCATCTTCTCTTCAGGCATTTAAGATATATACTTGTAACTATTTTCAGATGACATTTAAAAGTAAAAATTTTATAAATAAATGGTTTTCTCAAAAAGACTAATTAGAAATTTTTCCAATGTAGAGTCAGATATATAACATTATGTATGGAATAAATAAAATAATATGTTTTAAAATTTATTATTATTTTTTAGGTTATAGATGAAAAGTAAGAATTGAAAAATCTATTGGCAAAATTCTATAATTATTAATCACGATTTAAATTTATAAAAACAAAAACTAACTAATCTTTTAACCATGAATAAACATTATTTTTTTTATAAGTGTTAAATTATGTATCATCATTACTGATACATCACTTTTAATTTTAAGAACAACTCCATATATAACAATTTTAAACAAAAAAGTTCAAATATTATATAAATAATATCTTAATTATAATTAAAATTACTTTTGTTAATTGATATCATTGAACTAAAATATTAAAAAATTTTCATTAAGATTTTACCTCATTTCTCATAAAATAGTTGCTTTCAAATCGCTTTGATTTTTTATCTTGCTGTGAAGAATCTAATTGTTTGGCATAGGTAGTTAACATTGACGAGACTCCAATACCAGATAATATACACATTACTGGTGCTAATACCAACATTAATCGTACCATAACTCCCTACAAACAGATTTAAAATATTTTAGAAGAATGGTTTCCAATTACTTTTTAAACATTTTTCTTTTCCTCCTTCATACAAGGTCTGTTCAAAAAGTATCAGACCTGTTTTTTTTCCGCGTAAACCAATGATGCGCGAGAGGCCTCCTTCGGTGGATTTGTGGAGGGGACAGTCATGCACAGCCCTGAATTTTTTCCCGCCTGCAGGAAGCGTCAGTCGTTGGCAATCGGCCTATGAGTGAGGTCATGTAGTGGGCTCTCGTCAGATTCCACTAAGCTGGAAAATGACTGAACAACGTGAGCAGTGATATTACATCAAATTTTGTCAAAAACCTTGGCGATACCCGAGCGTAAACCATTTGCAAGATTCAGCAGGCTTTCGGGGACAATCCTCGAGGCCAAAAAAGCGCGGCAGGTCTGCAGCAATATCAAAGGTCATGTTGACAGTTTTTTCGACTCTCGTGCGGTGGTGTGTCGTGAGTATGCACCACAAGGCCAAACCATCGCAAAGGAGTAGTACCAGGAGGTCCTTCGTCGTCTTTCCGATACAGTGCGACGCAAACGACTGGATCTGTGGTCGATCAAAACTTGGCAGCTCCATTGTGATAACGAATCCGCCCATTCTGCGCATCTGATTCGGGCTTTCGTCGCCAAACACAATACTCCTGTGGTTTGTCACACTCCGTACTCTCCCCACATGGCTCCGTGTAACCTTTGGCTATTTCTCAAGCTGAAAATGCCGCTAAAAGAAACCCAAATTTAGTCGAGAAAAGACATCATGTGAAATGCGATGGACCGGCTGATAACGATTCCAAAAAATGCGTTCCAGCAGTGTTTCCAGCAATGGCAGGAACGCTGGGAGAAGTGTATACATTACCAAGGAGACTACTTTGAAGGGGATTAGGGTTTTGTACCTCAAAGTCAATAAATTTATTTTTGCCGACGAAAGGTCCAATACTTTTTGAACAGACCTTGTATTAATAGGTTTTGTATAGAGTTTAAATATTAACAGATTTAAAAGTCATTTAAAATCCAAAATCATCACAAAAGTTTTTTTATCATTTGAAATAGTAAAGAATATTGAATCAGTAAATAAATTCTGGAAAAAATTTAAAAAGTATAATCTACAAACATTTCATTTGCCAAAGCTGCAATGATTCATTTATTTCTAGCACAAGAATCAAACAATAATAATAATAATATAAAATTGGCTTTAAATACACTGCTGGCCAAGTAAAATGCAACACCTTTAATATGTAGAGACCTACATGGTGTTGCATTTTACTTGGCCAGCATTATATAAAAAAAATTTATTTAAGAAATTAATGAGATCAGTAATTTCAATGATAATTGTTCTGAAGATATACCAAGTAAATTAGATTAACAGAAAATAATTTCAATAACATGAAGAATAATATCATTTTTTAGTATAAAATAATTTAAAATATACGAATAAACAGTTTTTAATTATTGCATTAGCATTAGAAAACATGCATCCGATACATAAAATTAAATATTGGATGCAATTTTTCAGTTTAACTGCAAACCAAAAGTTTGTAAATACATTTATAAATGAAAACTTTCTTATTGTTAATTCATTATGTTAATGATTAAATTAATACTAAATGAAATTTTTCTCTCAAATTTTTTAAATGTCCATCTTAATAAAAATAAACTCAGAGAAAATTATTTATTAAAATCTCAATAAACTTACCAATTTGTATTTACATAAGTCAGCATTAAAACATTTTAAAAAGTTTAACTTGTATACTTTTACACATAGAAGCCCAGGATTATTATGACTATACAAACTAAGTTTCAGTCCTTCTGTCTATTTATCCTTTTCATTCAAGTCCAGGAACCACAAAACAGCTGGCGACTTGAAGAAAAAATCTTTTAAAAATAACAGACAAATACAATCAAAAAAACCTCATGCACAATTAAAAACGATCTTGACGTTGACCCTTTCTTGTAGGCTACGACGTCTACAAACATTAAAAATTGGTAAAATTCTTTCCAACAGCATTCATGTTATATAATCGCATTTAAGCTGAAAGACTTAGACTTAGCATTAGACAGAAGGACGAAACGTAGTTTGTATAGTCATAATTTTCAATTTTAAAATTGTATAGTTTTCTTTAAAAAAAAAAACACAGTTTATTATTTATGACATTTTTTTGGCTTGAAATTGTAAAATTTGCAACTCATTTTCAAATTATAGAATTTTAAAAAATTGAATATCAATTTACTAGATTCACTCAAATTACATATCCTTCAATCCTAAAATTAAAATATTTTCCTGAACTTCTCCTTCTATATTCTCAGTTTGATCACAATAATAAAAATCTAATTACCTGTTTCTGTATTATTAGGTCTTAAGCCGAAAATAATTCTGGTTAAGACATTAAGAAATAAAATAACTAAAAATTTGTTCATATAGATTCAAATAATTATAATCTAGATTTAATTTTATGAAAACAATAAATTTTAGTAATGAATTTATGGATATATTTATTACATATTTTTAAATGTTACGAGTAATGCATAAACTAAAATTTAATATGGAAGATGAAACTGTTGAAATATATAAAATAGTGAATGTAACTTGCAAATTAGACTTGGGAGGTTTTTAAAAAAACAATGATATTTGTAAATAAAAGCACTGTAAAAGTAAATGAAATTTTTTTAGATTATTATTTCTCTTATACTGAATAACTCACAATGTAGCATTTGACATTAACATTTTGTTTCAGAAATTACAAAGTCAAGAGGTATCTAAGAGATCCATTTTCTAACTACATAACATTGATATCACAAATAATTTCTGCACTATTGTATATGAAGATATAGTATTTAAATAAATGTAGCACAATTATTATTACCAATTTGCTAATTTGTTAAAATATGTAATTTATTTATATAAAACCTATTTCATGATTATAGCATGTTTATTGAATTGTAAATGTTCAATTAAACAAAATTTACTGTTTAATATAAATTATTATAAAATTGCATATAAAAGTTATCATAAAAGATTTGAAATAAATACTTACAGCAAAATAAATGCTTGTGACTCCATACAAAATGATAAAAATATTGGCATCAGTTAATTTTGCAAAGCAAAAGTAGAGACCAACTGCAAAGATAAATTTTCTTTTAAAATTACATTTATACTAAACATTTAAGTTCAAAATTGTGAATTATCAGATATAAAAAAAAAAGTGATTTTTTTTTTTGTTACATATTTAATAATAAAAAAGCATATGAAATGCCAAAATGCATTTTCTTTGATAAAAAATTGTATAATAATTAACTAAAATAATATTCTTAAAAACAGCCCATGAATAACATGGAAATTTGGTACAGTTTGACAATCAGATGCAATTAACATTTGAAAATTTTATTTAATTTCTAAAATTTCAAACTGTTTATAGTGTTTATTATTGTAAGGAGTCAATTTGGCAATTCAAAAGGCTGCAATTTGAAAAATTTATAGACCTATAAATTCCGACTGTCATTCCCTGCTTGTCTGTCTGTCTGTCCTTTCTTAATCTTGAGAAAAGAATGAGATCAGATGTGGAAAGCTTAGGGCAGGAGGCTCAGATTAACTATATATGAACTTCTGGTTTGGAACAAACTTCAATTCAAAATTTTCCCCAAAACAGAGTTAGATAGAGGACAGACACAACTCTATAGCTAACAGGAAAAGTATGCTGTATAGTACAGGGCAAGACTACCACTAAAAGAATTGAGAACACTGTGATGAAAAGTTGCAGCCTGGCATTGTGATGATGTCACAATAAATAATAGCTCATCAGAATTAGTTTAGTTTATTTAATTACAGCAATACAATACACAAGTGATCTGTCAAGGGGGATGCATTCCAGGAAGACTTTTATGTAAAGCTGGCCCTAATTTAAGTGTTACTAATGCAAAGAAAGCCCAAAAAACTCCACATGGACAGTCCTTTGGCCATGCGCAAACCCACGACCAACTAGTGTTCAGTGGTTTTATCCACTCAGTTACTGGAGAGTACTTATACTCTCCATAAGAACTATAAATTCCCACTGTCAGCTATCTGTCTCTGTCCTTCCTTAATCTCAAGAATGGAGTTAGATAGATGAAAGTCAAGACCAAATGTGAAAATTCTAAGAGAAAGAGGACTAGATTAACTATATATGACCTTCCAATTTGTACTGCATGCCACATTGTTTCAATTCAAAAATTTTCCCATAAACAGAGTTTGATACATAACCAGCCTGAGTCTATTGCTAACAGGAAAAGTATGATGTACAGAAGCAAAATAGCACTTGCCTGCTTGAAGTTTAGTAGTATGTGCTACCTGTTGCAGTAAAGGTATAATGGTACATCTATTTCATGCTATATCACAGTAATTAAGTGAATATAATATATATTTTTAAAAGTTTTATCCTTTTTTTGTAAGAATTATATTTAGTTAATTATTTTGTTAAACTTTTTCCAATAGATGGCACTACATGTAAAGCCAGAAATCAAATATAGACAGAAATTAATTGATATATAAAAATCCAATCAATAATTTGGGATGGAATGTATAACATGATTTAAGTTACAAGTATTTGAACATAACTGCAGAGTTTTGTAGCAATTGATATTATGGCTTAGGAGTGTATAAAGAACGAACAAACAAACAAACATTCTCATATATATATATATATATACAGATTAAGATTATTGTAACAGATTTTGATTCCTTTCTTTTCAACTAAAGAATAAAAAATATATCTAACTATAAAAGTTCTCATTTTAATGTAAGACTACATTAAAATATTTTCAGCATTAATTAATTGCTCCAACTTCGAAGTCTTGCAATTATAAAACTTTATTAAATTATAATAATAATTATTGTATTTACAACTCTATATTTCTGGCATTTAATATATCACCACAAATAAAAAATGGATTTTCATCAAATTAACAAAAAAATTTATCTTGAATTTATGCTCAGAATGGAATAAATATAAAAATACACTTTGCCCATTATGAAATTTAGAACAAAAGTTAAATTTTTAGGGTAATTTGCCTAATATCTGTTTTTATTTTAAAACTGATATCAATTACCTCTACACAAAATATATTTGAATTATTTATAAAATGAAGCACTCAAAGAACAAAACATTTATACACTGTAAATAACAATTGAGCTCATTCTCAACTGTTTGATCAGAATCGAATATTATTTAATTTCCAGAAAATTATTATAATAGATTAAAACAGTTTTGAACATCATTCAAAATTATATCCTCAATACAATAATGGTTTAAAGTTTATAAAATAATTTGAAATAAATAAAATCAAATTACATTTTAATATATTAAAAATTAAAAATCACCACTTATTATAAATATCATATGCATAATACATATGAATAGTATATTACAGTTATTCAAATGAATTAAAATAATAAAATCTATGAAGACAACAGATGGAAAAAATGAAAAATACGATACAATTGAAAATTAATACTTTTAGCAAATAAATCAAAAATTATGTAGGTCTGAACAACTCCTATATATAGAAAAAGCCAATATCCAATCAATAATTGAATAATTTATTTTAATGTAAAATGAGTTAAAATAAATTTTAAATTAGTTCAAATAAAATGAAACTTGAAAAATTACAAGATAATAATCAAATCCATTAAAACAAGTTCTAAAATAATTAGAATGTAAACACATGTATCTTAATATGTACTGTACAAGTTAATAAATTCTTACATTAGCATATTACATAATAGATTAAAAGACAACTTTTTTACTCACCTGGAAACATAAAGACCAAAAGCTGCAAATCAAAATAAAATGAAGACCATGACGTTGGCTGATGTTCTGATACAGAAGCAATGATTGGAATGTTATTTTTTGCATAAGATGGATCCAGAAGAGAATAAAAACGGCCAGTCCACGGTGAGATTTCTCAATCATTAAAGATAACAATTAGATGATACAAATTTCATTTGTTTTATACAAATCATTTATCAAAAAATTGATATAAAAGAATTAAATCTGAATAAACAAACTGTTCGAAAACATTCTTAATTTCTAAAAATAACTTTCTCTTAGGAGATAGAAAATATTAATAAATTAAAGATTAATTCAATCTGCTGCTGGTGAAAATAATGTATTATTTTCTTTTGTCTGGTATTGTAAGGTAAAATCATTTTATTTTCATATAAAAATTCTTTTAGAAGAAACTGAAATACAATGTAAAATTCACTCATGAATAGGATAAAAATGTTATTTATAATAATTATATTTCTAACTGATTTAAAATAAAATTATTATAAAAAGAAGTATGAGTATTATGGAATACAAAATAATTTGTTTTGTATATTGAAATAGTTATATAAATAAATTTAAAACTAAAATATTTTCTTCTAATCTGTATGTTTTTTAAATAATTGTATAATGTAATAATAAATAAATCTGAATTTATATTTGCAAGTATAACATTTTTTCTTTTTAAGCAATATTTAGCAGAAATCAAATCATTTCAGTCATTCCCAATCTTTTGCAGTCCACATACTCCTTTCATAAAAATAGAAATTTTATTTTCCTTAAACATCCATAAATTGAAAAGTCAAAGAATGATGTCCAATGTTTTCAATGGTTGCTTCATAAACGTTGTTTTAATTATTAATTTGCAATTTAAAATACTATGGCACTTAATTTAGTAACACAGACATGAAGTTAGTTGATTAAATTGAAAATTTTAAAAGATTCAAAATTACAATTGGCAATAATAACAGATTTTTTTGCATCTCTCAGAAAATGTTTTGTGTATCCCAGAAATAGGTTGGGAAATTGCTATCAGATTACAGCCAAGAAAAATTAATAATTTAAAAATAACAAATTAATAAAATATAAATTGTAAGGATACTTCCTGTGATTGTTAAAACAGCACCAACAACACAAGATAATCCACCAATTAATATAACAACAGTCTTGAAGAGTACTTCAAAATGTTCTTTTGGCAAACGTGCTCGAACATAATCAACAAAAGCATGTAATTGACATAAGCCAAAAACACCTAAAGCCTGTAAAAGTTTAAGTAATAAATATTACATATTTATAATATATTCTATATATTTCTGTATTCAGACTTTTTAATCAAAATGTTTTTTCTTTCTATCAATTCAAATATTTTTCAGATATGAAAATTCTTATTCAAAAAAACGATTGGTTAATTTTTAAAAAATCTTATTGAATAAAGAAATTTTTCCAATTGACAAGCTATAAATGACACTAACAGATTTTCATTAAATATTTTCAGTTAAAGATTATCTAGTTTTTTTTTTGGTCAAACATTAATTTCAACTAAATATATGTATCATATTATAGTAAAACAAAAAATAATAATGAAACTTTAAATAGAGGGAATCAAAACTGAAAAATATTAAGTTATATCTATTGACATAAAAAAATATAATTATTTTAAACAAGTTAAAAAGTTTTTAAACTTTTTAAAACCTGAAGTTTTATATGTTAAAATCCTATAGAATTTGGTAGTAATTGTGCACTTATTTCAAATTTTTATCAGTCTGGATAGATTCAAATATAATTTTAGATTGATCATAGGTTAATAATAATTAATACTTATTGGTAAGATTGTTAAATTTAAGAACTGGATAATTTTACATTTTGTGGCAGCTGTAATTCAAATTAGAATTTAAACACAGCATATATGAAATATCTACACTTATTATTAATTCAAAAGCATTAAAATATATTTAACACTTAAAGGTAATNTTTTTTCTTTTTAAGCAATATTTAGCAGAAATCAAATCATTTCAGTCATTCCCAATCTTTTGCAGTCCACATACTCCTTTCATAAAAATAGAAATTTTATTTTCCTTAAACATCCATAAATTGAAAAGTCAAAGAATGATGTCCAATGTTTTCAATGGTTGCTTCATAAACGTTGTTTTAATTATTAATTTGCAATTTAAAATACTATGGCACTTAATTTAGTAACACAGACATGAAGTTAGTTGATTAAATTGAAAATTTTAAAAGATTCAAAATTACAATTGGCAATAATAACAGATTTTTTTGCATCTCTCAGAAAATGTTTTGTGTATCCCAGAAATAGGTTGGGAAATTGCTATCAGATTACAGCCAAGAAAAATTAATAATTTAAAAATAACAAATTAATAAAATATAAATTGTAAGGATACTTCCTGTGATTGTTAAAACAGCACCAACAACACAAGATAATCCACCAATTAATATAACAACAGTCTTGAAGAGTACTTCAAAATGTTCTTTTGGCAAACGTGCTCGAACATAATCAACAAAAGCATGTAATTGACATAAGCCAAAAACACCTAAAGCCTGTAAAAGTTTAAGTAATAAATATTACATATTTATAATATATTCTATATATTTCTGTATTCAGACTTTTTAATCAAAATGTTTTTTCTTTCTATCAATTCAAATATTTTTCAGATATGAAAATTCTTATTCAAAAAAACGATTGGTTAATTTTTAAAAAATCTTATTGAATAAAGAAATTTTTCCAATTGACAAGCTATAAATGACACTAACAGATTTTCATTAAATATTTTCAGTTAAAGATTATCTAGTTTTTTTTTTGGTCAAACATTAATTTCAACTAAATATATGTATCATATTATAGTAAAACAAAAAATAATAATGAAACTTTAAATAGAGGGAATCAAAACTGAAAAATATTAAGTTATATCTATTGACATAAAAAAATATAATTATTTTAAACAAGTTAAAAAGTTTTTAAACTTTTTAAAACCTGAAGTTTTATATGTTAAAATCCTATAGAATTTGGTAGTAATTGTGCACTTATTTCAAATTTTTATCAGTCTGGATAGATTCAAATATAATTTTAGATTGATCATAGGTTAATAATAATTAATACTTATTGGTAAGATTGTTAAATTTAAGAACTGGATAATTTTACATTTTGTGGCAGCTGTAATTCAAATTAGAATTTAAACACAGCATATATGAAATATCTACACTTATTATTAATTCAAAAGCATTAAAATATATTTAACACTTAAAGGTAATGAAATTTTCCTTATTAAATTATATGTGAAATTAATAATTACCAGAAGTAATTTTCATATAATGTATTCAATAGCATAATTTTTTATATGAAAACAATATTTAATTTTAAAAAAAAGTGTAAACCTTTTAAAAATATATTAAGTGAATTAAAAATCAGTTTAGCCATATACTTACAGCCATATGCTCACTTGATTGAACAGGTTGAAAGCCAACAAATGATATTTGCATTGAAAGTAAAGTTCCCAAACAATAAACCTGAAAATTATAATAATTTTAGTTATAAGAAATTTTAACAAAATTACTGGATATTTAAAATAAATAAAATCTAATAAAATTAATAATTAATTAATTATATCTTAGATACAAAAACATTTAAGATTTACTTACAGTACTGTAAGCAACATAAATGCGATGAGAAAAACGTCCAGTTATCATTAAAGCTAACACGTGAAGAGGAATTAAATTTATCAAAAATACATAGCCTCCCCATGAAGAAACCTAGAAATAAAATAAAAATTCTTAGATAGGTCTAATCAAAGAATTCTATTCTAAAATTGTTAATTAGTATTAAAAATTTTTTAAATACATTTTGATGTATCAAAAATTTGCATTTCATAAATGATTCTAATTAATAAACATGTTAAGATTATTTCATTTCCTTGATATTTCTCTCTCTGTTTGTAAATATATTACAGAATGGGGTATTTATGTCCATGTTCAAGTATGAATGAAAGGTTAACTTTTATAGCACAAGAGTTATTTGGCCAGCTACACCATAATGTTCAAATATTTTCATGTGTATAAATGAAGTATTTAGTAAAACAAATATGATTTTATGTTAATAAATCAATAAATATATAAATAATACTTTAAAAAATGTATTTCTTTACATATTAACAATATTCTAAATTATTAGTTGAGTATAAGCCAAATTCAAATTAACACACTAAAATTATCTTATATTTCTTTATTAAATTTTATTAATAATTTTGTTAATAGTTGGACAATTTTGGTTACAGATCACTATGTTATTCTCTATTATTTACTTTAATTAACTCATAAATAATTGAAAAAAAGCATAAATCTGAGCTGGCTTCAAACCTGTAACTTTTGCAAATAGGATATGTTAAGAGTTGTTTTCCAAATTATATTAAGTTCAACAGCAGCACCTGCAGACTATAAAAAAATGGGTGCAAGCTATATAAATGAGCATCATACATTATGCAAGGAGCTTCAAACTCTATGATTCAATGTTCAGATCAGCACTCCCAGATGATGATGCTAGTTGCACTGAGGACTAACTTGGCCTTGAAAACAAGGAATGTTGTATTTGTCAACATATAATGAACAAATAACTACATAAAAATAGTTGCATGGGACAATGAACATATATCATTTATTTATTTATTTATTTATTTATTAGTTTCTTTTATATTTGCAGAATAGGCTAGAAGTCATGAATTTTCTGTTGTTTGTTGATAATGAAATAAAATTTTGCTTATTTATATAAATTTTTCTTGCTTTATTACTTTAAAAATTAAGTTAAGATCATTATAAAATTATAAAATATAATTTCTATATTATCAAAATAAAAATCTCTTTATTACAAATGTTTCTGAAACTTTTAAAAAGATTTTAAACTATTTATCATTTTTATATTTCTTCTTTTATAAAACAATTATTCATTACAAAATTTTCTTTAGTATCAGAAAACAACAAAATATTTAATCGATAAATATGTTCAATTTTAAAGCAGGTTAATATTGAATTATCATCAATAAATCATTGATTAAAAAATACATAATTTAGTAGCATGGGTTTTTAAAAGTATTATGTTTAACTTTTCTACTTTGTTCGCCTTTAACAGTAGCCATTTCAATGAAATTTTTATGTTGAAACTAGAGTAACTGGGAAGACATTTTTTAATGCTAAAACTAAAGCTATCTACATAACAAAATACTATTAGTTGAGCTTCAGCATTGTTTGCTCATTCATTTTTCTCATAAAAATGTTTTAACAACAAAATATAACTATCTGATTTCAAATAAAGATACAAATTTGACTTAATCCATCTTGCCTTTAAAATCTACATTTATATTTCCGAATATAACATGATGATAATAAAGATGAATTTTCTTCACAGTAAAAGTAATAAGTATTTCAAATAAAATTTTTGTAATTTATACACAGTAGGTTTCTTTCTGAATATTACATAAAAATAAATTTTAATGAAAATTTAATTTTTCTATTAGATAATTAGATTAGAATAAAATAATTTTTTAAAAAATTTAACAATGCATGTATACTTACCATATAGAAATATGCTAAAGCACACATTGTGGCCCAATACATGGCACCAGTTTTAACTGCTTTAATCCACATGTAGTATGTTAACAGCATACAAAATATAGCAATACCTTCATTATCATAAGATCCAGCTACAGATCTTGAAATGTAGCCTGGTACAATTGATATCATTGCACCTGCTACTAATCCTGATCCAGCATCCTTTAAAAATTAAAAATAAATATTATCAATACATATATTTTACATTCATTCAATTTGTATAAAAAATAATATCGCATTTTGATTTATGTTATGATAAATTTTCAGTTTAAAAATTTAAAATTTTAACTCTGCACCCAAGACTCTTTATATGAGTGAGTGGCAACTGTTTTCTGTAACATATCTTCATTTTCTGTAACAGAGTACCATTCATCTTCTACAGAAGTAGAATACTTCCATTATCATAAGTGTCTCACTCAATGACTTGTATTTTCCACTTTTTTGCACTGTTATGTCATCAACATTACGACTGCCCTCAGTTCAGGTTGTACAAAACAGTTTTAATATCTGAGGCAAACCTCATACCTGGCACCTGATTCAATGCTAATTACAAAAAATTCTATGGGTTTTTAAATTTACAGGCTCATTTTGACACTCCATGGTCAGTGTCCAGAACATGTCTCCACTTTGCCCCCTTAATAATGCCATTGCCCTCAATATCATAATTACTTTCTGTCCCTCTACTATAGTATCACTTAAATTATATCTATATATATATTTGCATAGAATCAAACATTATTCATAATGACAATGTAACCCAGGATCCTCTTCATTTGAAGTTTAAGACTATTTACAAAATTATATCTATATACTTTAAAATCAAACTCATCTTTACTTTCAGTATTTTTGAAATCTTCATAAGTTTCTCTTTTTTCTATTTTTTTGGATTAAAACCTATGTAATGACTTTCATTCACAATTTTATACACAATATCATCATAATAATGCACAGGTAGTTGTGATATACACACACATTGCCATAACAGCACCAGTGGACTTATGAGTGCACCCTGTAGAAATGCTAGAGTGCACTTACAATTACAAATGATGTAGCCATAGTGGAATTGTGATATACATCATTCATGTCTCTTTAGCAAGATGTGTCATTGCTACAGTGACATGAATGACATATATCATAATCATAGGACCTGCTTTGATGGAAATATCAACTATTGATATTGCCATAATAAACTTATGGTCACAATACTTGATGAATGAAAAGAATTAAAATAATTTAAAAATTCAATTAGTATCCAAAAATAATTGGGCTACAATTTGAAAAAATGTAGACCTATAAATTCCCACTGTCATCCATCTGTTTTTCCTTAATCTTGAGAATGGAGTTAGTTAGATGCAATCCAAGACCAGATATTGAAAGCATAGGGCAGGAGGCCCCAATTAACTGTATATGAACTTCCAGTGCAGACCAAAAGTCAACATATTTCAATTCAAAACTTTCCCCCTGAAAGCATTTAATAGATGACTATTGTTAAAGGAAAAGTATGATGCACAGGGGTAAGCCACCTGATGAGGTGGAGAGCATACACTTTAAATTAAATAAATTAAAAATATGATTAAAAATTGCAACGTAGCATTGTGACAATGTCACAATAAATAATTGCTTGTTATAATATATTTTTTATAGATAGTAAATTAAATTTTAATTAACTATTTGCTCTTTTATTTCAATAATTTATTTAATTTAATAATTCACAAACCAAATTCATTAAAAACAATTCTTTTAAGTTAAATTAAATAATTTTACAATTTCTATATATATACATTTTACATACCGTATTTACTTGTGTATGAGATGAGGTTTTCATTCATTTGTGTTCACTGCTTCAAAAACCTAGGTTGTCCTATACATGCAAGCAAAGGATTGTTTATGTTGTGTCCAACCTGGCAACACTTCAATGCATCCCCCACAGTCCTTGTCTCCCTCTTGAGTTCATTCTTACCACATGCGTTGTACTGGTGCCAGTCCTTATACCCCACTTCCAAATAAAATTATTTTATTTTTTTAAGATCCGTGATTATTTGGACTAAAATCCAAAGTGTTTTTGCAATAATTTCTATGAACCACATTGAGTTCATGCTGCCATTGTAGGTCTAGTCTAGTATTTATCATAAATTGGCTCCTAATGTAAGCAAATTAAGACACACCCCTTTCTTTATTGGTTTAATCCTACATCTATCAATTAAAGCTGCATTGCATTACATTTGTCCACAGAAAACAGTTCTTCATTATTTATAAAATCATTAATGAAATACAGGTCACTTAATGATGATTATAAATGTAGTTATTTCATATTAGTTAAATTGTTACTTTTAATGAATACTAGCACATTCTGAATCATTAAAAATAAACTTTTTCCAGTCATGTGCATTATAATGTTTTGGTTTTGTTTTCCATTCATCACATATTAAGGCAAACAACCATGTTTGCCTTAATATGTGCATTTTATAATATTTTATTTGTGAATAAATGAAATAAAATTAGAATTGTATTAATAAATTTGATTTTCTTTATTTTGATCTTTAAAGTCACACCTCGTCCTATATGTGAGATCATCTTATACGCAAGTGAATATGATATTTATATTTATGAAAAATATATTTAATAAAAGTATTATACTATACTATTTAATATTTAAATGAAAAAATATTATCTTGTGCAATTTCAATACAGACAAATATTTAAAAAATTTTTTCTTTCTTCATTAATTCAATTATAAAAAATTATAAATTACTGGTTTTATTCAAATAGTGACCACTTTTCGTTAAATTAAACCTTGAAATAATAATTTGCCTTCAATGGTAACCACAAGAAAATAAGCAGTTTAAAATAGTGGCCATGGCTATTATTAAAGTAAAAATCAATATTGACTGAAATTTTTACAAAACCTCTACATATTACTTACTCTCAGTTCCTTTGTAAGCAGATAAGTAATAATTGTTGTAAGACTTGAAAATAATGGTGCCAAAAATACACACACATTTCTTATGTCAATAGTGAGATTGATAAATTGTAAGACATGGTAAATAGTAGCAGATGTAATCATTAAACCTATAATTAAAAATTTTTTACTTTCATAAAATATACAAATTTTAATAATTTCTTAAATAATAAATTGTAATTAGTAATGTTTTATTTAAATAGCAAATTTGGTATTTTATTATTCAAAGCATAAATTTAAAGTATATCATTAAAACTGTAGAAATATCACAATATGAGAGGTAACATTCTATTCAATTGAAAAATAATAATAGAATAAGAATTTGAATTCTTGAATTACAACAAATCTAATTTGATAAAAAAAAACAATCTATTATACTTTCACAGTTTAATTATAGAATAAATTAGCACAATACAGCTTGAACCTCATGCCAAATATCACATAAAAAGAAAGTAAAAACACACTGAATGCATCATTAACAGTATTTAATTTTCACTAGCACTTTCAATAAACATATGTTCATCATCTTCAGGCGAATGAAATTTAAAAACAGAACACAATGTTTTAATGCAAATGAAACATATATTATTTAAATACAGTTTTGCAGTCTGCACAGCTGGTTTTTCACATGCTAAGTTCATGCATGTGCATAATATGGTCAGGGAATCTCTATTTCCAAGCACAACACTGCATAACAAGAGGGAGATTGACATTTCCCTCTTGTTACACACCATTACCATACCTCAGACACTTTCCATATGTATTTGCCATATATTCAGGCAACATAACTTTCTCCTGCCCCTATCTCCATTCCCGAATTTGCACAGACTCATCTACAATAATTGGAATAAATTCTCCACCTTTGAAAAGTCAGGAATCTATCTGTACTGTTGGAGAATCCTATAATGGGGGTAAACACAAGGTACACTGGAGTCACAACATGAATGCTTGCTAGCTGCCTAGCTGAGCACCAAGACGACATGGTGAAAGGAAAGCATATCACAGAGCTCATAAAAAATACTCGTACAGAACTACAACCTGTTACGGGTTGAAGCAATGCTACTCAGACACTGCAGTGACCAGAAACTCTTTTTTTTTTTTTATATATATGGGAATCTCTCCTTACAACAACTTTGAAGCCATGCAACACTCCCATGCTTGACCTGCCCAGCATGTAGGTTGCCCTATATAAACAGTTAAATAGTGATATACATACCTTTAACTTGGATGTATATGCACACATGCACTGCATGACATTATATCATCTATCATAATTGAATATTGAGCATGCTCATAATGAAATTTTTATTTAAATAATGTGTGTTCCACTTGCATTAGAACATCGTGTTCTATTTGTGAGCAGCTAGGGGCTCAGGGATCCCTGATGTCCACTTAATTGGAATGGGTTTGTAAAACCCGCTCTCATTGTCTTGGAATGGCTTAGGAGTTTAATGGAAACATGCAAATCATACAATGGCGGTAAACTGACACAGTTAGGATAATTAAGCATGTCCTAACTCACGATATGTAACACTATTTCAAGTAGGAGAGCTCGTTAAACAATTGAGTGGGAGGGAGGTGGGTAAGTCGATAGGTGTCCCTTGAATAAGACAGATAGACAGGTTTAAAATACGACAACAAATTTAATAAAACATAAAAGGGTTAAATACATAGAGGCAGTTACATGTTATACTCTACTTATAACTAATGGACCAAGAGAGAGAGAGAGAGTTTACATTTACTGTTCTAACTAAAATACCTCTGATAAGTCATGCCCTGTTCATATGATGTCGGCAAGACTATCATGGACTGTGGAGGTTGCTGAGAGAGGTGATGGACAGAGCCCTGTGCTCTTCTGGAAGATGTCTGCCATTGTCCACGCCCGGAGGTTTCCTTCTGACGACTGCCCCGAGGTGCGGGTGCGACCCCTTTTTATACCAGTCCCGCAGGGGAATTATCAGGGGGAATTCTGATGCAATGTGGTCCAAGTTCGATTTGCTTCAGGGTGTTGTTTATGTTAATTGTCAGAAATCAGACGCTCTGACAAATTTATTACCTCTTTCTATCCAGTAATGTTACTCATTTTACCTCATAAAATTGATAACAGCTGTCAAACAAACTGAATTAATGGTTGGTAGTGACTAAGGTCAGGGTTTGTTTTGCAACCTTAGTAATAATTATTAACTTGGATGGTCATCTGATCGGTTTTTACAAAATCAAATGAAATAGGATGTGTGTGGGTTTTTCCACTTTATCGTCCTTTCCCCGTTTGACCTTTGGCTCAATCCTTTTGTCATTGTATTAAAATATAACTTAGTTATTTAATTATTTTATTACTCCCTCTGAATGTCACATATTTATTACTACGTTTTNGTTAATTCTGCACTCAGTGTGTTTTTACTTTCTTTTTATAATAAAAATTAGATAATTTAATCTCAAATTAATATAATCAATAATTTTTCACATAAAACAATTTTAACTTTTTAAATTTTAATCAGATGAAAAACCAAAAATATAAATTAATAATTTCAATAATAATATTTTTGTACAATACTATAAATGTAAAAATATTTGATGTTAATTATTCAAAATTTTAAATTAAGAAATAATAATTTTATCTTACCAGGATATATAGTGCCTCCAATAATTCTTCCTAATGGATACCATGCTCTATCATCAAACCAATTGTGGAAATGATAGAAACCTTGTTCAGCCAAATAGCGAGTTGTACGATAATTAAAGTAAGGATCAAATTCATGGATAACACTTTCAAATCTCAAAACAGAAAATAATCTGCAAGAAAATGCTAAAAGAAAGAAATAATGAAAGTTGCATTATATATTAGATTAAAATTAAATAATTAAAATATTTCTTTCATTTTTAAGATTGTGTATGCATATACAATGTTTATATCAGGGCTGTGGAGTCACGTAAAAATCTACTGACTCCAACTCTGACTTTTCCTTACCATCCGACTCCGACTCAGGGCAGGCTTGTTACCGAAAGAGACCCGGAAATTCTGTTGTCATCATGTGACCTCAGAATAAAATATTCAATAAATAGAGTTGTAATAAAGATAGAGGATAGAAACTTTTTATTCCAAAGCTAAAAGACTTCTCTAAGTAATATATAAATATGTATTCGATAATTTTTACTTTTCCGGCTGTATATAACAGAGGAAAAGTGTAGCACTCAGTCAAAAAATGACCCCTCCCAAATTTTTACATTTTTGGACTCGGGACACCTTGAAATTTCGAGATATGCAAAAGATTCGAGGTTTTTTCTATATGTGTGAATGTTAGACTGTGTGTGGGGGGCATGATTTCGTTCACCCTGTTTGAAGACTAATAATTTCTGTGGTCAGAGTGGTCAGAATCGGAATCAGATGGTTTAACACAAGAGTTAGTTATTTAAGTCAAAGTGGTTGAACTAAATCATGTCCCCATATACATTCTAACATCTTAAGCGACAACATCTTAACAGGTTTTACTGTACTATTATAAAATGGCAAAAAAGCTTACTTTGAGGGTAAAGACGAGTTTTATTATACTTTTTTAAATTTTGAACGCTAATAACGAGTAAAATATTCATTAAGAGATATGACACATGACCACTTTTATGTCTTCACCCTGTCGACCTTTAATTAAGAACCAAAATTTAATAGTATTAATGCCCCTTTATACGCAAGCTACAGTGCCACATTTCATTTCTTAAACTTTACCTATTCTGAGATATTGTTTAATATCTCAGAACAGAAAATAAAGAAATTAAACAAATTAAACACCAACACACGTGCACCCCAATGCATTTTTTCCCTTTATTGACTTTTTTGAGGGGTTCAGGAAGTCTCCAAACGTGTAGATTTGGAAAAAAAAAAAAAAACCTTGGAGGGTCAAATTTGACACGATTCCAATACTTTTCCGTTTTATATACATAACAAGTTGGTAAGTAAAAAGGAGTCAGAGTCGGCGGATTTTTTGACGACTCTGACTCCAACTCCAGCTAAAACATCAAAACTCCACGACTCCGACTCCACAGCCCTGGTTTATATAAATATGACTACATTACTATTGAAGTCATATTTTAGGAAAACAAGGTTGACTTTTTTGGTCTCATATATAAGTTGTTCCAAAGTAATTTAAATGATAAACAATAAACACAGGAATATAACATTATCAGTGATCAAATATCCAGTGAAATACATTAGAACACATCCTAAAGTTTATTTCTGAAGGGCCAAGTAGTTCATAATTCTACCATAAGGTAACAGGCAGACTAGTTGTAAAAATGGCTGACAGTGGTGAGGAGAAAGCATTTTGTATCTTACAATTTCATGTGAGTAGGTCAGTGTTGAGTGTACAATGTCAATTTCATACATGATTTCACAAAGCAAAGAACCACCAGCAAAGAACTATTTAAAGGTGGTATGATCAATTCTAATGAACAGACTATCTTAGATATTAGGATTAGGGGTAATTATGTGTATATATATGTAAATGTATTAGTATTAACTACATAAAAATTTTTTAAAATGTTTATAATGAGATTATTTTTTATAAATATCCACATGTTAAGGGTGTATGCATGTGCTTGTGTAGGATAATATATATATATACTAGCAAATGAGTCCAGCATTGCTTGGGCAAACAATTTGGATGATTTGGTAAATATTGTTCATTTGAAAATTAAGTTATTACTATCAACAGTAATCTTCAACAATCATAATAATTGTTATATAACACATTATTATGATTATTTGCTGAGAATCATTTTACTGCTTCAAATGAACATTTTCAACTTGATCAATTTTTTGGAACATTTACAATCGTTCTATAATCAAACCAATAATAAATTTGAATTTAAAACAGTTTGAACATTCGGTTAAAAAAATCAAAATATATAAAAATATTTATAACAATGTTTGAAATGTTATCAATTTAATACACCTAAGTACTCAATAAATACAAAACTCAATGAAGACTAAACATAGTTGAAAACAAAAAATTGTATCTAAAATAGTACAGTAGAAGCTGTTCTTCAGGTTAAGCCTTAATCCTGTCTTTTTCCCCCATGGGGAAATTTCCAAAAATCTCTTCTTTATGTGCATTTTTATGAAATACCCTAACTGTGTACCAAATTTCACCTCTTTAGGTTCAGCAGTTTGCTCAGGGCAATGATGAATCAATCACTCAGTCAGTCAGTCAGTCAGTCCATGTAATTTTATATACAGTATTTAAATATACACACAATATACAGGATGCCTAAATTTTCTTAGCCTAGGTGTCAGATATTCTTGCACTACCCATGATAAAATTCATTTAATGAGATGAAAGTGTACAGAAATTATTGCCATTCATAGCTGCTCCATGACAGGTGTTTATTGTAGATGCATAATTAACATAATAATAGTTTAAAATCATTATATAGAAAGGAGATTTATTATTAATTCACTTTCTGATTATAAAATTAAAAATATATTAATAATCCCAGATTGAGCAGTGACTACACAGAAAGTTTGCTTCATCTCATTTTCAGAAGGAAAGAATAAACTTACCAATAAACAAGTTATATATATATGTTATATATAACTTGTTTATTGCCTATTACAGTATCATATTTATTATTTTGAATTAAATTTAATTTAAAAATTATTGTAATTATTAGTTATTGTCGGTATAAGATAGCAGTCTAACCACTGCCTGCCTTTACAAAAATTAATTTTTTATTAATTGTTAATAGAAAAAACTATAGTCCAAATAGTCCAGTAATTAATATGATTATTGTAGAATATTTGAGCTTAGTTGTTTTTATATCTACAATGATTTATTAATAAAAATGAAATGAAAAAAACAATTTTTTTATAATTTATATAGAAGTTTCTTTGAATGAAGCCACACACAAACTAAATTACATCTGTTTAAATTACTAAATTTTATCTTTTTTATTCTGAGAATGCATTTTNTTTTTAAAGTGTTGTTTATAGATTTTTCAATAACCGTAAATTATTCTTTTTATTGAACCTTAAACTGTAATTATGCTGTTGTATATTGTTGTATTGTGAAGTTGTTTGCTTGGCTATTTTTGTTTTAATTTCTAATTATTCTCTTCACAGTTTGTTATTCTATTACTATTATTAATCATTATTATATCCATCATTTTTGTTTTTATTGTCATTTACTATACAATACCAGAGAGGTCAAATTGTTTCAATGTTGCTGTGACATTTTAATTTGTTTTGTAGTTTTTATTTTTGTTTAAAATCTCTTGGAAGTTTGTTACTATATCATTATTACATGGGATAATAATGCATTCATTATTTCATAACAGACATTTAAATTTGTTTTTATATGTTGAGAGTTTGAACTGTTGTTATTTGATTATGTTTTGAGGAGATTCAGATGACAAATTTATCTGAAAACATTTATTGTTTACATGTAATTTATAATGATTTAAATAGTTTATAATTATTGTAAATTATATGTACTTTAGAGGGACTGAAGAAAGGCAAAGGATGAAAAAATTTAAAAACTGGAAAAAATTTTGAATGTGTTTATCCTGACAATGGCCTATAAACAGGGGCAGCCCTAGGGTGGTGCAAACGGTGTGACCGCATCAGGCGCCGTCATAAGGGGAGCGCAAAAAATACAACAATAGATTGTCTGCACAAAAAATAAAACACAATCACCTTATTACTACTTAATCCTACCCGCCAAAATAAATTCTATACAACAGTGAGCTGGGTTGTGTGCATTTCAAAGGTATACACATATAGCGTGAAATTCACACTTAACATTGTAGACTGTTAACCTTTTCAAACAAATATTGTTTCCTTTTTACTGTTATTGTTTCCCATGCATACTTCTACTACGTTAATCTTTCAGAGGTCTGAGTTATTAATAATGTAAAAAATGTATGTTATCTTTAATCTCTATGTACTGTTTAGTCTCTACAGGGGGACGCCACAATGAGATCTTGCACCACTTGAAAACCTTGCTAGGGCCTCCCCTGCCTATAAATAGCCAAAGATGTTATATTTACAGTAATCTATCACTTGTTTTGATTTTGAACACTTAAGTTTAAGTAAATAAAGCAATCATTTAAATATAATTGATTGATATATACCAATTCAAATAATGTTGAATTAGCAGAACCTTGTCAGAAATAGAAAATAGTCATTACTTCCTTATTTTTTCAAACACATTGTTTACAAATGTTAACTATTTCTATTTAAAGTTTAAAAATTGTGATTCTATTCAGTTAAATCATAAAAAGTCAAAGTTCATTAAAATTTTTCATACTCTTCCATTTACTAATATTTCTTATCAAAATAGCAATAAATTGTCTAGGAACTTTTCTATACATTATATAAAAATGTTAAAAGCACTTCAAATAGTATTTCCATTTGTCAGGAGAAAGAAAATGTATTTATTAATTTAAATTTAATAATAAAACTAAATATAAATTTCAGTCTGCATTGAATTTCTTTTGGGTGATATTTAAATGAAATTTAATTAGTTATACAGCACGTCTGAGAAAGATCTTTATCATTCTAAACATTAATAACAAAAATACTAACAAGTGAAATGAAATGCAGTTTGCTGCAAAAGAATGAAGAAATCTAAGAGTTTTTTACAGTAGCTGTACGTGAGCTCTGTTAGTAGCACGAACAATGTCGAGTCCGTACTCGATTTCCCTCCAAGTGTTTTTTAACATTTGCGGTGTAACAATGTTTAACGGTGAGGATTGCTAATTGTATCCTTTCCTTTAAAATAGATATATCAGAAACAGGTGTTTGATAAACCCTGTCTTTAACATAACCCCAAAAAATGAAATCCAGTGGAGTCGAGCAATTGCAGAGGCCAAGGTGTGGGTCCTCCACGACCAATCAATCGTTCGGGAAACACTATTAAGTAATTCACGTACAGAAAATGTCCAGTGAGGCGGAGCACCATCCTGCTGAAATAAAACATTTGGCTGCAAATGTTCCAATTGTGGAATAACGTAAAACTCAAAACGATCCTGTTAAACATTACCATTAACAGTCTTCTCCACAAAGAAGAATGAACCTATTACAGCATCATGTAAAAGTCCACACCAAATATTAAGTTTGGCAATTGATACCAGAAAAAACTCTTAGATTTCTTCATTCTTTTGCAGCAAACTGCATTTCATTTCACCTATTAGTATTTTTGTTATTAATGTCTAGAATGATAAAAATCATTCTCGGACACACTGTATTTTACAAGGTATATATTAATTATAATATAAAGTATATAACATATCATATTGCTAATAACATTTTTGTCTTATAAATAAATATTAAGTTATCACTAATATATAAAATTTATCATAACCATAAAATTAAATATACAAACAAAAATATTACAGAATATAAAAACAAGGAAGTACCCGAAAAACAAGTACCCGAGGAAGGCCTATTAAGAAGGCCGAAAATGTTTGTACTCCTGTTAATAAGGCTAGAAATTAGTGAGAAAGGTTTTGTGCTGATAATTCTTATAAAAACAAATGTTTTTGTTACAAAATTTCTATAATTTTCAACAAAGACTTGTTAATTATTCTTCATTCATAACTTAAAATTACATATAAATGTTTATAAATATTAACTTACATAAGATTGCAGCCATAGAAAGTATTAACATTTTTAAAAGAGTATCTTGTTTTTCTGGAGACATCCGAACCCACCATCCTGATCGTTTATATAATATTCCAGTAGTTGACATGTTGTTCAATTCTATATAAATAATATATAACTTTATTAATTATACTTTTTTCTTTAAATCAAAATTTAAAAATTCATATATAAAAATTTTATTATTTTAAATTTCTAATATATAGTGAAACTTATTTCTCATGCAATTATTATTCAAGAATGAAACATCAAATGCAAAAAAAGATATAATTTGAGTTTATATACGAGGAGGGACCCCAAAAAACCAAACTGAGAGTGTGCTGCCATTCATAGACGTAGTAGAGAGTTCTCCCATTACATGGGGTTAGTAGAGACCTTCATGAAACAGCTGTCCAAATGGCATCAGTTTGTAGGTTTATGTTTGATCGTAGTGTTGTGTTTCTCTTACTATTATTTTGTTCCACCTGCGAAGTTCTGGGCATCCTTCAACATCTCAAAATGATAAAAACATTGAAAAAATCTGCCAAAAAAGTGTTAAGACGTCTACAAGAGGATGTGCGAAGGAAACGCCCAGAACTTTGGCGATCAGGTGACTGGTTCCTTCATCACGACAACGCTCCCACACACACGGTCTTACGAGTGACCCACTAATTGGCCTCTCGGGGATGGCCTGTTGTTCCCCACCCTCCATATTCACCAGACCTAGCCCCTGCGACTTTTTTCTGTTTCCAAGAATGAAGAAAAATCTTAAAGGGAAGCATTTTGATGATGTGGAGGCGGTAAAAACAGCTTCACTAAGGGCACTGGGCGATATCAAGGTTGAAGAGTTCCAGAAATGCTTCAAACAGTGGGGAAAAAGACTTCACATGTGCATCACATCTAATTGAGAGTACTTTGAAGGTGACTGAAGAAATTTTGTAAAAAAGTTAATAAAGTTTTTATACAAAAAATCCAGTTATTTTTGGGTCCCCCATGTATTTTCATAATCTGTAGACTTATACAATAATCCTGCAACAACTTAGGAGACATGACATTTAAAATTTCAATCAATATTCTATTCTAAAGCTTATTTTCATTATAAATACTAAATGCAATTATATTTTGAATAAGCATAATTTACAATGATAATTTGTAATAACAATAATTACAAAATAGCAATTTATGAAATTATTTTATTAAGGAGATGATTAACACTTTTTTCCATAAGATTTATGATTACATTTTTAAACTCGACAAAAATTATTATTTTTGATAGTCTAATAGCATAATTGAGAATTTTCAAGTTACTATTTCTTCTCTGAAATTAAAGTTTCAATAAGATTACTTTAGATTTAATTTCAAAGCAGAAAAATATTTCACAAGCAAAAATTTCTAAAGTTTTGAGAATTGTTCCGTCATTACTTTCTATATCATTTATTAAGTAGAATTTTTGACTTAGAAAAAGAGGTCTGTTAAGATAACAAATCTTTAATAAAGTGAATCAACAATCTATATATTAATTAAGAGAGTTTCAGTTTGTCCACCTTAGTTCAAGTAAACAGTTGGGGCTAAAAAATACAGTTCAGGCATCAAATTAAAGCTCTTATCCTGTAGACCAGTGCTTTTCAACCTTACAGTGGTCGCAAAGCCTTACATGGGGGTCACAGGTAAAAGAAAAAGACAAGTAGGTCCTACACTACAATGAAAAAAAAACTACAATTTCAGTGAGAAGGCTATACCTGTTTATTTTACAGTATAATTGGTTTTCCAATCGATATTTAGGTCTCAACAGAAAGAAAATTAAATACGTAGTTTTTAGAATCACTGATATAGTTTTAATATGGCCATGGGGGATCGCCAGAAGTTTTTAACTTGCAAAGCGGTCGCATATTCAAGAAGGTTGAAAAACACTGCTGTAGACAATACCACTGAAGAGAAATTTGAGAAAGGTGCAATGATTCAGGCATGGCAAAGTGGCAAATGTACGATGTTAAGTCTATGGGACAAACATGTCAGAGTCCCACCCCGTTAACTTTAGCCCAAGCAATTTTTTTTTTGCAGTTTCATTATTGTAAATACTTATATCAATAAATGTTCTAACACCATTGTTTTTATCACCCTCTCCCGACTCAACCTCAATCCCCAACCTGCCAAAAGCCCAAGCATCAGACACACAGCTAGTTCTTAAGAATTGACAGTTGTTGATTCACTTTAGCATTTTTTAGATTTTGTTTAAACAGGATTTAGTCTTTAATGATACAAAATTTAACATATTTAAATAGAATTTAGCATAACACAGAATTAAAAAAATTTTTAAAGCATCAGTCTTAAAATAAACAATACTGATTTGTTATTGTTTACTATCCTACATTGTAAGTGAAATTAGAACAAAATTAATTAACTTTTTTTCAGTTTATTTCCTTAATTTAAAATTGTCATAACTGCACAAAAATAATAATAAATTTAAGCAAGTTTGTATTCATTTTAATAATGTTGCTGGAATTTAAAAGGCTAAATGTTAATAATAAATAATTATAACAAAAACATTTTTAATCTGACACTTATTACATAAGTAATTTCTTAAAGAAAATGTTAAAAAGTAAATTATATAGATCAGAATTGAAAATCTGCTGAATTCAATATAGTAATCTATCTAATCTAAGAAGGAATTTATCGAACAACGCGGTTAATAATTTTCTCACATGCATCTAAGTTAATATATAATGTATTTTGTCTTTCAATACACGAAACAAAAAGAACAGCTCTAATTCAATGCAAACAAAAATATTTAAATTATATAAACCTCTTAGAGTTAAAACGTTTCCGTCTTTCAAATCATATATATATATATATATCCTACCACCCAATCAAGGAGTCGATCACTTGGACAGCGGCACTTCAATACAACACGTGGCACGTATCCAAGCCGTTCTCAGACTCCCGCAGAATAAAAACGATTTCTTATTTGATTGGCTAATTGTTATAATATCGATATTACGTTAGATTTTTAATTTTAATACATATTAATTAAAAATTTCAATAATATTTATTTTTATTATGATTATTATTCTCAAATCTCAACTTTATAAATAAACTCTTTATGGATATCTATTACCGTGTAAAACATTGACGGCCGAATGGCCGAGCCTACTTCTTTGGGCGATCCGGGATCGAATCCGGACGGGACGATAAATCCTCAGGAATTTTTGGGGGTGGTCCGACCGGATATGTCGGCCTCCGTCCCTCACCATCCAGCAGTTGTGGATCTGGCCGAATCCATAATGGGTTTGCTAAATAAGGCCCTCTAAGTGCCCACAGGGCGGAAAGAGTAAAAAATATACTGTATATAGGTCTATATAAATTGCATCATTTTAATTGGTTTGAATTATGATTTAAATTATGTTTAATACGCGTATTTTCAAGTCACATATTCATTCCCATGTGTTTTCTTCGTTTTTTTCTTTTGCTTTGTGAACACCCTTTTAGTGTCACCAAAGCAAAAAAAAAAAAAAATTAATCCTTCAAATCTGCCACAATGTCGACCAATCGAGAATTTCTTTGGATATTTGACACAAATAGAAAGGTAGGCCAGAAAAGCATATAATACAACTAATCCGAAGATTCAGACTTTCATTATAAAAGTTGACACGAAGACCACTCAAAGGAATTTCGAGTCTATCGAAACAAATTTACGGAGAGTCATCGACATTGGGACGTACGAACGCGTTCGTTAATTTTATATTATTGTAAATAAAATATATTTTAAGGGAACTCATGTCTGGACACAGTCGACTCAAGGTATTATTCTTGGAAGTTATTTTTATGGTTACGTCTTTGCACAAGGCTTAAAATTTTGAATCATTCTAATGATATTGTAAATAAAATATATTTTAGAACAGAGCTTACACCGAGTTTGAAATATCGGTCTAGACTCTGTCACAGATTGTACAGTACCTTTCTTGAAGAGGGATTGGCAATAGTTTTGATCCAAAATGCATTTAAATAAAATATCTGAGAATTAATCGNAATAATTAAAACTTAAAATGATAAATTATTTATTTCAATTTTTTGCTTTAAAAACAGTGTTTTACTCCGTTACGTAAGGTTGTCGTTGTTTAAGTTATGGCAACGCAACACTTGGGCGGATGCCTTCCGGGAGGTCTTTTTAAGGGAAGCTGTCTCCTATTTAGGCGTTACAGATGTTTTAAGGGAAGCTGTCCCCTATTTAAGCGTTACAGACGTGGAGAAAACCCGGAAAACTCCACATGGCCAGCCCGTGCCGAGAACCCACGACCGAACTCCCAGTGTTCAGGGTACGAGGACCACTTGGCCACTGGTGTAAGGAGTCTCATTACTATTTTTAACTGTGTACAGTTCTTCGAGCTTTTATTCGTTATAAATTTAATTGAACAGAAGCTTTTTTTCTAATGTTGATGGACTCCATTTCGAATCAGACTTGCTATACAAAGCTTTTTATGGGCATGTTACGAAACCAGAACTAACTGCAAACTACATCTTAAATCAAAATATTTATTATAGAATCTTTGTAATTAATTGTAATTACCGAGAATACATTTTACTAACGTTACTTTTCTATAACGCACAATTAATGAACAGTGCTAATTTGAAATAAGGATCGTTAGACGGGCGCATGTCCGAGCGGTCAAGGTGACAGCCTACCGTTTTGGAATAGGACGAAAAAGCCCTTGGAATCTTTCAGGTGATGGTCCGTCCTAATATGTCGGGCCCCGTCCCTTATTACCCGGCTGCCCCATTCTAGGTCTAGCTGAATCCATAATGGATTTCCTAAAAGAGACCCCCCTTAGTGCCCACACGGTAGCAAGAATTTTTTTTTATAAATAAGGATCATTAAAACAGAAATAAATCAATAAATATGCATCGAATTTTAAAAAATCAGGCATTTTTCTACATCGGCTTCGTCGTCACGCGGAAACGCAACAATTTCGGCAACAATACATTTTTTCCATTGTTTCACTTTCTTTGTTGTAAGTGGGCGATTTTCGAATGCGAAAGAAACTTTTGTGAGTTTTTGCTTCATTTCTTGAGAATAATTGCTTCGGATATAAATGTGAGTAATATTTTGACAGACTACACAATATACTGTACAAATATTTTGATAAAAATAGAATTACCCATCTAGAAATTTCTCATTGGGTAATCATAAGGTTCTTCGACTTAATTAAGAGCACAGAACTAGAATAAAAAATTCATTTTAAGATAAATTTCAATATCTTGGAATAGATTATTTTAGTTCTATATATCACGATGCAAACATGGCCAGAGTTAATAATAATAATGAACATAAATCTTTCTGAAAAATATTCACTTGGTAGTAGTAAATGTGTTTACATAGATATAAAAGGGCGAGACCAATACAGGAAACCCCCGTATAACACGGTAGTTACGTTCTAAAAAATTACCGTGCTATGCGAATCCGTGTTATACGAAACAAAGAACTAATAAGAAAAGGAGGGTTAGGTTCCAAAAATTAAAAAACATGCTAGTATATTTTCATAATTAAGATAAATATCTTCATTAAAATTTTTTTAAGTGATACATATTAATATAAATTAAACAATGTTTTCTTCGTCATCACTAAAAACACTATTAATTAACCGAGAGCGTTTTCTTTTTGGCAAGTTATCCTTATCCTCTGAGCATTTTTCTGCATTATCTTCAGATCCATGCTTTACCTTTTGCAAAATGTATGTAATTTTAGATTGCTTGCTTCTAGTTAAAAGGTCTTTATAAATTTCCTTATATGGTGCTAAGCACTTATGAAGAATAAAGCAAGTATGGAATAAGGGAAAAACATTCGGCAACATCAGAAGCAGAAGCGTCGCGATCTGGCAACAATGAAACAAGTTTCGAGAAGGACCACGTGTATCGACAGAAGGCGAGAAGAGAAAATTTACATGCTTTAGTAGTAAGAGTTCACGAAAATAATAATTTTCGTGAACTATTATTACTTAAGTATGTAAAAATTTATTACAGTTCATGTTGTACGAGGGTTTTACCCAATTCTCGAACCTTGTCAGAGTGAATCCGTGCTATAAAAGTACCGTGTTATACGGGAGATGGTACCAATTCTCGAACCGTGTTAGAGCGAATCCGTGCTATAGAAGTGCCGTGTTATACGGGGGTTACCTGTACTCGATAGAACCGATCATCGACGATGAGAGATAGAAAATGACGCTAAGACCCAAATAATTCAAGAGTTATTTTTTTCAAATTTCGGCATGGATAAATTTGAAGATGCACATCCACATCTACATGTGGATATGCAAATGTGGATAGAAAGCTAGAGTTGTTCTTGTGTGAGAAGTGATTTGATCCTCCTAATCCAAGTGTGAAATTACCAGCAGATACTTATGATCAGGATGATTTCCTGTTTTGGGACTTAAAAAATTATACATAAACAAATTATTTAGAAATTATTCTCGGACTTGCTGAGGATTGTTTCGAATACAACGATTCTAATTCGCAACAGGTTGATGAAAACGATGTTTAATTTCGTTGCGAGCAGCGCGAGATTCATCGTATATCGCGTGATCAGAGAGTTGAGCTGGAAGTTGTTAAATGATCTGTATATGATTATAAAGGAAGAAGGCAATGGCAAACCACTTCCTCAACTCTTGCCAAGAAAACTACATGGACAAGGAATTTCATAATAGGGATATAGTGTTGGAGGATGGGACCTTCGGGTTCGAAAGCACTCTAACTTCTACTGGGGACGAACAAGGAACTTCACTGACTAAGATTGAACATAATGGCATGATTAAGTCAAAGCTGAAAGGGAGTTTAATCATTGATGCAGTCAAACACGAAAAGAAAGTTCCAAGTTTCTTCAAACAACACATATTTNGTACTTCTAATACTGTTTCAATAGATGAAGGTGTTAAGTTTCTGAATCAACGGAGTCCTTTGAAAGAGCGATTTCAATCCATGTCACGTTCTTCCGTTCGAAAACATCAAGTGAATGTGACATAACTCCTTCATCTACCAATATCTCTGCTTTGAAAAGCGAGACATCAATAATACCCATTGTGTAACACTTTCATTCATACAGAAAAATAGATCCTTTCATCTATTACAACGTTCAATTCTATTTTACTGTTTTAATCTTAAATAAATAATAATAATAAATATGCTATAAATAGTTTTTAATTCATTTTGATTTAACAGGATAGTCGAGGATATGACAACCAATGTGCACATCAATCAATCAATAGACGATGCACCAAAAAGGAAATAATTTTCTAAATTAAAGAAATTTTACATATTCTTCTATTGGTATATATCTTTAACTTATACAGTAGAGCGTCGACTCTCCGAATTAATAGGGGACTGGGGTTGTTCGGAAGATCGATGTTTCGGATAACCGATTATGTACGAAAAAATATATTAATTTATCCCATCTTGACATTTTTCTCCGTTGCGTGTCGCTTCGCGTTTAATTTTCGTCGATGTTAAGCCTAACGAAGACTATTGTATCGTTAAAAATTATTTTTTTATTTTGTACGAACAAAATAAATATATTGAAAAATATAAAAACAATAAAAAATTATACTTCAGAAGTTAATTTAGTATCAAAAACGTAAAATATTTGAGTAGCCCAAGACATAGCCAAAGATTGCAGCACCACAGCACTGGCGAAAATTTAAATTTG